ATGAATAGATTCATTAGTTTTCAGTCTAGACGGGTTGAGTGCTTGTGTGTGTGTGTGTGTGTGTGTGTGTGTGTGTGTGTGTGTGTGTGTGTGTGTGTGTGTGTGTGTGTGTGTGTGTGTGTGTGTGTGTGTGTTTGGATTATTATACGGTGAGGCTTGAGACATGGAGGCACAGTCGCAGCATGGGGGGGTCCAACCATAGTAAGGGGTCCCACCTTTACCTCTGAGCAGAGCCGCAGGTCTTTATGCGATAGCGTCTCTCTAACCGCGGACGAGATCCTCTTTCATTTATACATATATATTTATTTATATCGTTTTTCCAACAATTATTATATTATATATATATAATATGTATATATATATAAACATATTCAAAGATTCAAAGATTTTTATTGTCAAATACACCCCCCCTGTATATTGAAATTCTTACGCTTGCCTTTTCTGTAAAGCCGACCAATTTTAAAATGAAAATAAAAATACAATATTGATATGAATGTACATGAAATAAAAATTAGGCAGAAATGAGGTAAGGGGAAACGTGCAAAACTGAGCAGGTTGTAAAAAATTTAAATTAAATGTGTGCAATATAAATGAACAGTACGGTACAAGCGAAACCCTAACAAGCCAGAGTGCAGACCAGTGGAGTCCTCTCAGCTGCTGATCACCCTGATGGCAGTGGGGGGGAAAAGGGGGTTTTCAGCCTGAGGGCAGACGCGTGGACAGTCCACGCTGGGGGGCCGGGTGGGCTCTTTAAGAATGGAGGCAGCTCTCCTGTGGCCCCTGCGGTGGTAGATGCTCTGCAGAGAGGGCGTAGATATTCTGCCGTTCCGTGTGCGACGTCACGGTTCCCTCGTACGTCCACACCGTGATGCTCACGCGCGACTCCCGTCCCGATGCGGCCGTGTGGGAGCTGTGCAGGACGTCTGTGTCCTGGCAACCGGCATGAAGAAAGGTGTCTCGCTGTGGCCGTGAGCTTTCTGCCGTCGTGGGACCACGTCTCTGGAGACGGGACCTTCTCTGGAGAGTTCGCATGTATTTGACCTCACTGGCTCCTGACACGTGTCTGATGATGAATACGAAGGTAACGGACAGAGTTTGACACAGTTTGAGAAAATATGCTTCTTTGCATCAGAGGAGAAGCGCTGTCATGGTGCTGTATTCTTTGTGTTGAGATGAAGCCAACGGGTGGGGAGAATATCTGTCCCCCTCCAGTCCAAGTCCACTGGTGGTGTTTTCTGGAGGAGACAACGGCTCTTGTCCCCTTTGCACCACCCGATTTCTACCGACTCTGCAGGAGCGACAGCCAACATATTGGACAGTAACGTCAATATATAATCGGCAATATTACCTTACACAACCTAACACAATCCACTTTGTGGTCCTGTGTGTCTTCATCCGGGTCCGACACGATGCACCAGTGCATGTCGCCCCCTGGAGGTCTTTGGGTTTACTGCACACACCTTTTCACCCAAAAACTCATCAAACTCCTGCCATTGTTACCAGAAATAGTCTCCTAACTTCCGAACATCCAGAGAGAAGTTTAAATGTCCACAAGTAGTTTGATTTATTCATTATTTTATCTTTTCTTTTTTTTTTTTTTACTTAAACTGAATTGAACTTCTTTGCGTAGCCTCAGAACACAGATTGGCTTTAAGTACAATAAGTAGAGACAACTCCATCGTTACAACACATTCAGTGCTTACGTTCTAAATGATTCAAAATGAGTGGAAGCAACACAATAATACACAAAACACAACAACAACGAGCTCACAGGAAACACCTGCTGGCACAAACGGCCTTCGGCTGCTCCAAGCGGCCGAGGACGAGTCACACGTGACAAAGACAGAGGATGTCACTTAAGACACAAAGTTACAAAAATGATCCGCTTGTTTTTTAACACGCATGCACTCATGTGTGTGTTTGATTTTGTTTACACACAACCGATTGTGTCTTTGCCATTTCTTCTTGCTCCAACCGGAAGAACACAGAAAGGGAAACACACCCCCGTCTGAAAAAAGGGCAGAAGAGAAAAGAGAAGATGACCACTTCCTGTTTGGGTCTCCTGGGACACGGACGCCTCGAGCTTCCTGTATCCGTCGTCCCCTGAGCTCGCCGATGGCCGTGACCCTGATGCTCGCGCTCGCTGCGGCGCTTTGCACCTCGGCAGCGGGTAAGACTTTGTGAAGAGAGCATTCGCTTTCTGTGAGTGAGTGCGAAGTGAAAGCGCGAGGCGGGTACTCGACTTTCTTTTTAGGAAGTAAAAGTGAAACGCTCGACTTCTGTTTGACCTCGCTGGTTTTCGTAGCGTAGAGACGCTGAGATGTTTAAAGGAGAAACCATCGACTCGACGGAGCTTCGCCTTCTTTTGCCTCTTTTGCTTCTCAGGCTCCTCGCATGACTTCCACTACACCTACGGGTGCTACGAGTCCGGGGAGGTGCGGGTGGACGTCCTGCTGGACGGGGACGTGGTGGCGTACGCAGACTTCGGCAGGGAGGAAGTCGTGTTTCTCATTCCTCGGCTGCCTCCCTTTCTGAGAGACCTGAAGAAACTGGGCTATGAGTTCGCCAAATCCAGCTTCACTCACTGTCGGAGCGTTTTGGCCAAAGCCAAGAGAGCTTCTCCGAACGTGACCATCCCGCAAGGTACCGGCCTCTGTCCTGTCCCGTCCCGCCCGTAGGCCATTCCTCCCTGATCTGCTCCTCTCGTTGGCCAGACGCGCCGGTCCTCTCCGTCTACAGCCGGCACGAGGGCCGAGGCGGCGCTGCCAACACCCTCTTCTGCCTGGCCGACGGCTTCTACCCGCCCTCCGTCAACTTCACGTGGACCAAGAACGGGGCGAGGGTCACGGGCGGCGTGTGGGACCTGCCCTACGGCCACAACCGGGACGGGACCTTCCACAGGATCTCCACGCTGAGCACCACCCCTCGGGAGGGCGACGTGTACTCCTGCTCGGTGGAGCACCGGGCGGCCCGTCGGCCCCTCGCCAGCAGCTGGGGTGAGCGGGCGCTGGCGTTTCAGCGTTGTGTGCAGCCTGGGGCCTCCGTGGTGGTGGCGGTGGTCTTAAGTGTGTTTCTTTCCATCCGCAGAGCCGAAGGAGGGTCCGAGCCGGGTGAGTCCGGCCGCCGGGTTCTTCGGCGCGAGCCTCGTCGTGTGCCTGATCGGCGTCGCCAGCGGAGCCTATTTCTTCACCAAGCAGCCAAACTTTGGGTTTCATTCGTAATGCTTCACTTTGTTTTCTCAAACTCAACTATGTGAACCACGTAAGGGAACTATGTAGAAATCTTTGTTTGTCTATTGACTAGATGTATTATTGATGATGGACGGATTTCTTCACACAAATGACACCTCATCTATATTGTTTGGTGTTCAATACAGAGAGCAAAATTGGATATTGTGCAAGTATAATGTGTTTGAAGGATAACAAAGGATAACATATGGGCAAACCTTTAGAGCTCAGTCAAACATCACCATTGATAAAGATAATCCAACCTGTGATTTAAGGTGAAAGTAAACTTTGTTGATGATTAAACAGAATTTTAACTCATAATCAGTTGTTGACACTGGTGTAATATTGGGGAGGAAATGCAGCCGGTCTGATCTACAAATAAAAAGTGTTTCAAAGGGAGCAGGAAGAAAAGCGAAGGTGTGGAAATAAATCATAGAAAAAGAAGAAATGACTGAAAGGAAAGGTTGATAAGGAAGATAATGTAGGTTGTTAAGTCACTTTAGTTCTCAGTATCTTCAGACCTTTAAGAGGAGTCAGGAAAAACATTTTTAAGGGGATATTTCATAGGTTAATACTATGATAATAAATAACTAACAAGATCGTTATTATTTGTATTCCAAGTTCAAACATAACAATGTAATACTGTAGCTCATAAAATGTCTGATTCCACACACATCTAGAGAATAAGGAGGTTGATAAATTAAGCACCAGGAAAGAAGCATTTCCTCATACGTTATATTACTTTAAGTTGATCGTTATTCCAAATAATTATTTTACTATTCCTAAGACAATAAGCCCAAAATGCCCATATACATTTGTAAAACATTTCTTATTATTACTGTAATGAATTCCGTCTCAATTCTCCACTTTCCCCACACGGTGTCGCTAAAGTAGTTGAGTGCAGTGGCGGTCCTTCCTTTATATCCGTCCCCCGGCTCAACTTCCGGTTCTTGTGTAGTTCCACAACACGCATGTTATCGAGCATTTAAAAAAAAGAAGAACTTTGGTGTCATGAGTTCTGATCCTTGTGGCGAAAACGTGTCTCTGCCTCTACGAAATCTACTGAACTCCATCCGGTGCGTCGCAGACAGAGTCAGAGGTATTTATGACACATTAGCTGTGACGCGGAACGAAAAGTCAGGCTAGCCGCATGCTAGCTAGCGTCAAGCTAACGCCGAAAGCGCCAAATGTCGTTTTAAAACCGCCGGTAAAATACGTTCGTTAATCGGTTAACGGTTTTATTAAATCTACAATGAGCTCAGCCTGTCCGCCATGTTTAATGATCCGCTCGCTTTCAAGCTAAACCCGCCGATTAGCTACTAACGTTAACTAACGTAAGTTAATTATCATCCCTTTTAATGTTCGCGTTTTTATAGATTTTGCTTCAGCGGCGTGGAGATTTGAATTAATCGTCACTTTGGAAGATGTGCCGTTAGTTTGCTGCTGCGTTATTCTGTGTTACTATGACGTCATTATAGTCCTCGATGACACACATACATACGCACGGTACGTAAATAACGATCTGCTGCGTTCTCGGTTGAAAAACGGTTTATTATTGAGATTAAAAAAAGGATGTTTTTGTAAGAACCAGAAGACCAAGAAAACGACCCCACAAAATACAGATTAATGTTACATAACACAAACTTTCCATTAATCATTATAAGTCATTATAACACCTGGATCCAAATGAAGAGAAATGAACAATGTTTAGCGATCTGATCATTTTTTTAATCGTAACGTGATCGAAGTTCCAGGTTTTAATTTGTTCTCAAATGTCACGTTGTGCGTCTAACCGAACGTCTCCTCCTCTTCCTCCACAGATGGCGAGTCCAATGCGTCGGACGGCGCGTTCGACCTCTCCAACTTCCGGGACGCTCTGAGTTGAGTATCGCTCATCGTGACCTCCCCGTTCTTCCGTGAAGCAACGGCATCGTGTCCCGTGGTCGCCTACTGTCTAATAAACAAATAGTTCATTCTGTGTTTCTACTTATTTACTTAGTAACAACTCAAGACGTATAACGACTTCACTCACGCGGGAGCCCTTTAAATGAAGCGCCACCCGTTGTCTTCGTGGTCGTCGTCCTCGTCCTCCTTTCCATTAGTGGCTCCCTGTAAGGTGATGTCACTGTGTCTTCTGTCCTCAGACCAGGCGGTGAAGGCCGTGTCCCATGAAGCCACGAAGCTCAGCCTGGCCTTCTCCAAACCGCCGCTGCCGTCGCCGCAGGTCAGATTCCTGGTGGGATTATAAACGTCAGTGCGGGTTTTATTGATTTAGGTTCATGATCCATGTGGGAAACCTGTCGCCTCGCTTCTGTGCGGCATCCTGGTCGGGCACCGAACTGATCACCAGCCGTCACGCAGATGACGTCACGGCCAGAAGCCTGGAATAAAAATATATCACCAAGAGACAAAAATGGTAATAACAAGAACGACCCCTGAGAAAGGTTAACGGCCCGTCCCCTCTGTCTCACAGGACGTGGAGACGTTCTCCGAGTCCACCATGAAGAGCGTCCTCAGTCTGTCCACAGTCTACTACTGGCTACCCAAAGACCAAGGTAGCGCTGGATGGACGTGAAGCGCTCGCCTCCTCTTTTACTCACCCGCCCTCCTTCAGACACACACACACACACACACACACAGTAGCAGGAGGCGAAACGAACGGAGGTCAAAGGCGGCATCTTGACTCCTCGTCCCTCTCCGTGTCTTCAGGTGTGAGTCTGCGCCGGCAGGTCAGAGACGCCACGGTCGAGGTCCTGGAGGGCGTCGGCCAGCTGGTGGAGGTCATCCTGAGCTCGCCGCTACAGAGGTGCACACACACACACACACACACACACACATGAGCCATGTTTTTGTACTAGTTGGTTAAAGTATAAAACGTTTTCATGTTTCATAGTTTTAAGAAACTGAATATGAATAAATGTAATTAGCCAGTTTCGTATCAATGTGATGTCAAAGTAAACGCAAATACAGTTATTTATTTGTAGATATATCTGTATATATATCTTTTTAGGCCTTTAACGTTAATGTGACCTCTTCCTCCTCCTCCTCTTCCTCCAGTCTGTCTCAGGACCAGTTAACGTCAACAGGAAGTGTTTGGTCGGCCTGCGACCATTTCGCCCATTTGCCACAAGGTCAGTAGACCGTTTAAGAAAGAAGAACGTGCGTTTGAGTGTATTCGTCTCCGCAGGCGGACGCAATAACCTTTTTAAATGCTTTTTTTTAAACAATTTTAATTCTTTCAAATTAATTATTTAAATTGTATCTATTTTTTTTAAATGTTAAATTCCAGACAAACATGAAGGAAAACAGGCTCCTTTGATTGGACGCGTCTGGTGACTTTGTGTGTGTGTGTGTGTGTGTGTGTGTGTGTGTGTGTGTGTGTGTGTGTGTGTGTGTGTGTGTGTGTGTGTGTGTCGTGTGAGACATCGAGGAGGCGACTTGCACAGAAGTGATCCAAGACGCTTTACTTGACATATTTTTTTAATTCAAAGTGTGTGTGTGTGTGTGTGTGTGTTCTACAGACAATAAAGCGGCCGTGTTGATGGTTCTGTCTGATCAGATTGGAGTTGTGAAAGATGCCATAGAGGAAGTAGAGCAGGTACACACACACACACACACACACTCCGTGGTTACCTGTCGTCTTCACGGCCTTCGGGATCATCGGCGTGAAGGCGTGGTCTCGCCAAGAGCTGAATTTCTGGATATTGACCCTCGCACGCGCTGTCCGAGGCCGAGGACCCGTTCAGTGACGTCCTCGACAACGACCAGGGGCCCCGAGGCAACCAGGACACCTACTGGTCAGAGCAGGACCGGCTCCTGATTGGTCCGTGCCGGGGGCTGATGATGGCGGCGGCGGCGTGCCTCAAGAAGCTGACGTCGGCGGTCAAAGCGAACGGTGACGTCACCACGGCCCAGAACCTGGCCCAGCTCGACGACCTGGCCGACATCACCAAGGAGATCAGTCCTGGGTACGAACACACACACACACACACACACACACACACACACACACACACACACCGGGAAGACCATGATGGGATCGTAGTGACGTTTAGGGAATCTGATGAGCCGATGACGTTCATTTAGTAGATTATGGTCCATTTAGAGTCAAACAGACCATAACGCAGAGGGCGCTTTAGGGCGGGGCTTAATGTGATTGGCAGGTCTCTACCACCGCGTGGTCTGATCTGACAGGTGTCGTGTTTTTGAAGATAATGCCGACTGATGAGAAGCATCTGTACTGTTTCATTCACTTCTTAAATACACGTAACACCCCAGACAACAAATCTCTGTCTCTCTCCGTCTTTTAGTCTTGATGATCTGGCTCTGTGCCTCTACCCCCCGATGGACTACAGCGGAGTAGAGAACAACGTAAGACACACACACACACACACACACCGTCATTACTAATGAATCCAGTCGTTTGTGAGATGAGTTTTGTCGGCTGAATTCGGGCGGATCAGGTTTTGCTGCAGTGAGCTGATGTGTGAAGATAAGGAACCTTTTTTAAAAGTTTGGGTGGAGTCAAATATGAAAAACAAAGACCAGATTGTTGCCCCGGTTGTCTTTTCATTTTAAATGTATTAAAGCCATTTGCCTCTGACGCAAAAGGGACTTGATCTCTGACTGGTTTCTGATCCTTCATAGAGGTGCAGGTGGTTTTGGGTCATTTCATCATTTCACTAGAATGAAGAGAATCAGGCGGGTGGGGCCGACGCGGCGGGTGGGGCCGACGCGGCGGGTGGGGCTGCGATCCGTCGCATCGGGTTCCGTGGTTGACAACATGCGTGCGTCCACTCACGAGCCTCCTGTTGAGACACGTCTGGTTTCGGCTCAAACCCTCGCAGGAACCATCATCTGACGGCATTATTTCTATTGCAGCCTCACGTAACCCTCGACGTGTCTAAACCAAGCTTTCGTTTCCCTCTGCAGGTGTCCAAGTTGGCGGCATTGTTAAAGAAGGTTCTGGAGATCATCAGGTGAGATCGATCGAGTAATGATCGCTCTTTCACGCCATAAAGACTATTTGCACCTGAGACGCAGCGTTCAGGGAATAATCAAGGTGGAAACATTCCAGTAGAATTAGGAGGAATTAATGGGAATTAAGGAGTGAAATTGAGACAAAGAGGTGATTATCTCTGATAGAAACTCACCTTTCACCAGATCCTCAGCAGATCCGTCTCCTTCTGACGGACAGGTACGTCGCTCACGGGTTCTGGGTCACAGGCCGCTTGAACCCGAGCGCCGGGGTCAAAGTGTCCTCGACACGGGACCCCAGATACAGGGGGAGGAAGACTAGAAAGGCGCCCGTCCAGTTATATATAAAAACCTTTTCATAGGTATGAAAAGAAAATCCAAGCACTTTCCCGCCGTGACTTCCTGTATGCGACGTGTGGCTCGCCTGTTTTCATCAAAGACGCCAAAAGACCTGCTCACGTGTTCACGTTGTTCGCTGGTGAACACGCGAGTTCCTGAGTGACGTTCGCTTATCTGGGATCGCTGTGAGAAACGTGACCGCAAACCAGTTCACTTTATCACATTAACTGCAGAGGAATAATCTCCACGGATGTGATTTCACGCAGTCCTTGTTAATCTGTTCCTCTGCACGCTCCTACATGCACAGGTCCAGTCACGTGTGTGGAGAGTCCCAGCTGACCTGGGTTCAGTTCTTAGAGGGAGCCGTGGATCACAACCTGCAGAAGGCCCAAGACCTCATACAGCAGGACAGCTAGTGTGCGCGTGTGTGTGCGTGTGTGTGTGTGATGAGGGTTTATAAAAAAGTGTTTACGTACATGTACAGCGTATGATAATTAAAAAGGGTCGAGCGTCCTCACATGAAGTCCTTGTGTGTCTCTGTTGTGTTGACGGACATCGGTCAGGGTCGATGCTGATTCCGGTCTGCTGAAGCCTCACAAACAATTTACTTGGAAACCGTGAAAACCTGCAGAGCTTCTTTGAGGGCGTGAGCCGCTTATTGTGACATCACGATGCCGCATGAATCACTGGGTTAAATTACTAGAGGACGGATTTCTTTTCTTATTTCCAGGGCAAATATGCAGCGGTGACATCGCCACTCCCGAGATTTCTCACGCGCAAACTTTCTCTCTTGAGTCACACTCTTCTGTTTGGAAATTCTGAAAAGTCTGACGTCTCTGAAGTCGGCGACCCGCGTGTGGGCGAGCGAAGCGCTTCATGAAGCGAACGAGTGGTGCGTGTCGCCGGGCGATGGTGTAAACAGGCCTCTGCATCGGCAACGAGGTCGCTCGTCCTCTGGACGGTTTACCTCCATCATCTTCACCTCACGCGTCGCACTCGCCGTGTCTTCCGTACTGCACGCGTCAAAGTACAGGGACGGGACAAACGTTGACACTATCCACGTTATTACGTTAATGATTTATCGTGCACTTTATTCTCCCGTGTTCTTTTGTTCATCCTGTGCACATGAGATGAAGATCTGCGTCACCGTCATGGGTGAAATAACAGCTGTTGCCCGCATATTTAAATCTGAATTTACATCTCTAAAGATAAATGAAGCACAACTAAGTGAAATGTTATGATGCAATCGCAAGGTGCGAGGAACAGACGAGCTCTCTGAAATGCCGTGAATGCAACGCCACGAGGAAGTGACTGAACACGTATGTAACCGTACCTGTCACCTGCAGGTTTTCTCCCACGCGGGGTTGGGCCCGTGAGGTATAAAAGCGGCGAAAGCCTGTAAGTCACCTGTCAATGCGCCGAGGACCGACTGGCTGTGCACCTCCCCTCACACCTCCTCATCCGCGCCGCACGCCTCAGCAGAGATGACGACGGAAGGCAGAGAATCCAGTAAGTAACCTACACGGACCAATGGGTGCTTCTGCAGAAAGGCTTCCACGGGGGATTTTGGGCATTTGTATTTACATTGAAGTAACTTCTCTTTTCACAAAACATTCAGTCATCATGACAGTAAATAAACATCCTGCTGCGTTGAAGAAAACCTGAAACTAGCGTTTGCTGAGGGAATAAATTAAGAAGAAGTCATTTTCCCGTAGACTTCGATGCAGACGGACTTATTTTCAACTAGCAGAGGAGTTCAGAGAAACATTTACACCTCAGCTGCTGTTTGATATTTTGTCTTGTTAATTTGATCCATTGTTGAGTGAAAAAGAATTGACTCCAAATGCTGTTATTTAATCATCACACGTTTGCGTTACAGTCATCCAAAGCACGCGCCTCTGGAATTACTAATTGCCACCTGTAAGGAGGCGTTTCTTCTTTTTGTTGTTACAGTGATGATATAGTTTCTCTTGTCCCGTCCCGTCCCATTGTCTCTTTCCTCACTGGCTTCACTGACGCCACTGGAGAGACGTTGCACAACATGTGGAGTTGACTTTGTCTAACCATCGGTTCACTCCGCCCGGCGCCGGCGTCTGCTTCATTAATCACAGTCACCTGCTGCACCTTTAAACCTCCGTCACCAACTAGCTGCCAAATCGTCCACGCACTTCCCCCACCTCGTTTCTGTTAACTTGTTCATGTGTGTGTGTTTTCTTTTCTTTCAGTCTTTAAAAGAGTGGACATCCACCTTAAAGACAACAACCTTGCACATCGCACCAGCCTCCTCTCGGAGGACCGGCTGGTTGTGCGGCGTGGGACGCCCTTCAGGGTGACCCTGATTCTGGGGCGACCTTCCAACGGCCAACAACTCACCCTTAAAGCAACCACAGGTTGGTCATCAAATCATCTTCTCAATAACTTGCTTTATAGATGATGTTTCCCCAGAACATTCGATTTCTTTAAGGTCTCGTTGTTTGGGTCCTTTCGATGTAATTCTGTACTAGAAACCGTCGCGTCGGGGTCCAATCACAACGCCATCACGTCGTTGGCTTAACGCCGCCTCTCTTCTCTTGCAGGAAAGCATCCGAGCGAGGAGCAGGGGACCCTCTCGCTCTTTGGCCTCGCGCAGGTCAAAGAGCGCTCTCCTTCAGCGAAGGCGGTGTGGAGGGCGGAGCTTCACAAGGACGCCTCCCCGCCGACGGGCCTCCTGGTCCTGAACGTCACCCCGCCGGCCGACGCCCCCATCGGGGAGTTCAAGCTGTTCGGGATACACGGGGACGAGACGAAGCTGCTGGCGGGCCTGGTGGTGCTCTACAACCCCTGGTGCTCCGGTAGGTCTGGAGCTTGAAATGCGTACAGATATGTTCACATGCGAAGAACCGTCTCGGCTGTGCTCGTAGCTCCACGTAGAAAAATAAATCATATTTGACACAATTACAATTGTATGTGTAAACGGAATAACGTTGTGTCTCCGTCTGCATGCATCCCCTCGCTCTGTAGATGATTGGGTGTATATGAAGGACGAGAAGGAGATAAACGAGTACGTGATGAATGAAAAAGGAGTCATCTTCAAAGGAAGTAATAACTACATCATCTCTTCCAACTGGGACTATGGGCAGGTATTCTTTAACACACAAACACACTGTTAACACACAGACACACACGCACACATGCTGGCGCTAGTTTAATGGAAACAGAATGTAGCTGCGTAATGTTAAAATTGAAATATTATTGCATTGCATTATTGATGATAATGATTTTCTCTTTAATTGGTAAGTTTACGTGATATTCTGTGCTGACACAAAGGAAGAGACACTTCAAGAGCGTCCCCTCTTTTCCGTCCCGTTCAGTTTCAGCAGAAGATGGTGGACATTTGTTTGAGGATGTTGGACGTGAACCACAAACACTACATAGACCCGGCCGACGACGTCTCCGCACGCTGTAACCCCATCTACGTCAGCCGCGTGGTCAGCGCCATGGTAGGACACGCCCCCTCTCCTCTCCTCTGCAGCACAGCAGCAAAGCACGGGACACGCCCCCTCTCCTCTCCTCTGCTGCACAGCAGCAAAGCACAGGACACGCCCCCTCTCCTCTCCTCTGCTGCACAGCAGCAAAGCACAGGACACGCCCCCTCTCCTCTCCTCTGCTGCACAGCAGCTAAGCACAGGACACGCCCCCTCTCCTCTCCTCTGCTGCACAGCAGCTAAGCACAGGACACGCCCCCTCTCCCCTCCACCGAGTCCAGAGCTTTCTTTGTGTGTTACGAGCGTATAAAACCAGCGGTTCCCAACGTGTGGGCCGCGAGAGGTCATTTACAATAAATACATAAACGTTTTCTAATTTTCAATTTTCAAAAGTTTGAAATTAATATAAAAATATTTATGATGCGGCACATTAGTTATGTGAAACATTAATTGATGAAGCACAAACAATTTAAACGGACAGATTAATAAAACAATAAGGCTCTCGCTGGAAACGGCTGTCGTTGTTCAACAAACGGGGCGCCCTCTTGTGGTATTAAAGTAAATACACCGCATTTTCCGCACTCCAAGGCGCACTTAAAAGCCTTTAATTTCCTAAAAAAAACGGCAGTGCCTTATAATCCGGAGCGCCTTATATATATATGGATCCATTGGTTAATCGGTTGATCCATACTGGTTGTACACTCTGCCAAACATGCCAAAGCTCGTCTACGACGGCGAGATACTGAGCGAGATACGGAGCTGCTTTCAGGGCGCGTCGGAGAAACAAAGCTGTCGTTCTCGCCGAGCAGTTCGTGAGATTAGAGAGCGAGAGACGGCGCCCTTTTCTCTACAGTAGCTGAACCATCTTAACGGGGGAACATAAGTTATTCTAAAAGCAGCCGAAGATTTAAGGCGTGGATGGCGAGGGGGGGGGGGGCGGCGGGAGCGGACGCACCTCGCGGCATCGATCGGACCCTGAAAGCACCGTCTCCACTTTACTGTCAAAAAGAACAACAGCGAGCGCGTAGAAAACTCCTTCCAGCGCGAGCAACGAAGTTCACGTTTCGCAAGCGAGCAAATTCCTCGCGCGAGACGAACTTTTGCTCGCGGATGTTTGATTTTGGTTAAATTCTTAAGGTCATTTATTCATCATGTTTTGATCAGAGTTGTGATTAAAGGTGTTCGGCATTCTCGAGTTTGGGAACCGCTGGTGTAAACTAATGATCTTGTATGACTGACCCTCACAGCCTAATAGTGTTTTTGAAATCGTTTCCTTCTCAACAGGTAATTGACCTTTTGGACCAATTTAATCTTCCGAAAGTTGTCAGTTTAACTTTGAAATCAAATAGTCGCTGTGTCAAAAGTTAGAGAACAGCCTCATGCATGAATGCACTTATTAAAACGTCTCCCACCAATCGTTCTTAAGAGTCCGAATCCTACCTACAGGGACTGAGAAAGATTGTTCTGCTGTTTTCCTCCAGATTAACAGTCAGGACGACAACGGGGTCCTGGTGGGACGCTGGGACGGTTCTTACGCTGACGGGTTCAGACCGTCTCACTGGACCGGCAGTCACGCCATCCTCAAGCGCTGGTTCGACAACGGCTGCTCCCGGGTGAAGTACGGCCAGTGCTGGGTGTTCGCCGGGGTGATGTGCTCAGGTAGGGTCAATGCGAGGTCAACGCCGGCTCTGAAAAGGTCACTCAAACACTCGCTGGGCGCCAGCGGCTCAAATGCCTCCTCCTCCTCCCCCTCCTATAGAATATTCCCATCTTTTGTCAGCCAGCTCAGCAGCGAGGTTCCAACGCGCAGTAGCTTGTGTGCATGTGCACGTCTGGTTCGCTTTAAGCGACGGCGGGGCGCCGTTCCGGCAGCGGAGTAGGTGTTGTGTTGCTTATTTGTTAAACGCCGTTGTCCTCGTTGGGCCTCCAGTGATGCGCCTGCTGGGCATTCCGTGCCGAGTGATCACCAACTTCCAGTCCGCCCACGACAACAACAAGAACCTGATCATCGACGTCTACCACGCCGACTTCGGGGTCCGGGAGAGGCCCTCCCCCGACAGCATCTGGTGAGGCTCAAAGCTCAAACGCCGCGTGCACTCCTCCCACATCCCAATGCACATTAAATCTAAGAATCAATTACTTCCGACCTGCGATAACTCACTTTGACCGACTGAAAGAAGCGTTGCAGACCGACCCCGTAAACTGTTGGGCGAGGTCTTACGTTGATCAGTTCCATTGATTGACTCAGCGTGGCGTAAACTTGATGTTTAATTTAATGCTCCGGGCGGCGTGTCCCAGGAACTACCACGTGTGGGTGGAGGCGTGGATGAGGAGACCAGACCTGGCGAAGGACGGACGCTATGACGGCTGGCAGGTCCTGGACCCGACTCCACAAGAGAAAAGCGACGGTACGGACTTTTATCTCTTACGTCTGTAAGTGCGTTGCTTCATGATGACGACGTCCCTCCCTCCCCCGTGCAGGCGTCTACTGCTGCGGCCCGAGTCCGGTGGCGGCCATCCTGAACGGAGATACGCACCTCAAATACGACGTCCCGTTCGTCTTCGCCGCGGTCAACGCCGACTGCATCGACTGGCTGGTGCGTGAGCAGATTCGCAGGCCGATCCCCGGCGGCGTCCAGTGTCTGTCTCCGTCGTCCCTAATGCCAGCGTGTCCTCACAGGTGAAAGCTGACGGCTCGCAGGTGAACATCTCCAGCGACACCAAGAGAGTCGGTCAGAATATCTCCACCAAGGCCGTCGGCTCGGGGCAGCGGGTCGACGTCACCGACAGCTACAAATACGCAGAGGGTCGGTTCAACACGCGTGACCCTTTAAACCTGCAACACGGCAGAGAATTATTCTCTGGAACCCCGAAAATATGCTGTCAAAATGTGAAAGTCACTCGCTCTGTTCCGCTTTGTGTGTAGGAACAAAAAAGGAGAGGGACGTCTACCTCCACGCCACCACCAGAAACCTCTCCGGAGACGCTAAGGAGACACGGGAAGACGACAAGAAGAAGGAGGAGGTGGTTGGCGGGCCGGGGGACAAAGGTCCCCCGAAACCGACTCCCCCACCGCCGATCCAAATGCGCTTCGAAGAGGTGCGCCGCAGAGGCTGGAGGGACGGACAAAATGTCCCCCCCCCTCCCCGCCGCTACGCGTCGTTATTTACGTATCAAAAAGCCACCGAATGGGAACCGTTTTAAGTCATTTCGTTGCGCGGGCGCTGCAGGTGACCCCCCCGACCGACGGGAACGACGTGATGTTAAGGCTGGTGCTGCGGACCGAGGGCGCCGCCGCCAGGCCGGTGTCCGTCAACATCAAGGCGGACGCCATGAGGTACAACGGCGTCCTGGCTGTGACCGTCCACAACGAGGTGAAGGAGACGACGCTGCTGCCCGGGACAGGTGAGTCTTCTTCTGTGGTTTTGTAGCTGTTGAACTTTGGAGGAAGAGATCGTAAGAAGGGTCGATTGTGCTTTTGTCTCTTGAAGACGGGTCCATCCCGATCCAGATCAAGTTCTCCGACTACCACGAGCCCATGATGGACTGCGACAACATGAGGGTTTCGGCCGTGGTCGCGGACAAAGAGGTGCCGCCGAACTTGTACTTGGCGGAGAATGACGTCGTGCTGCTGGACCCGCCCATCACCGTCAACGTCAGTGACAAGTCCTCCGTCTCTCAAACCATGACGTCCATCTTTGTTCGACCGCCTGTGCCTCTTTTCACTGTCAAAGTGTAGAATTAGAGTTTCAGGGAGACAAGAAAATGAAAACATCTCATTACATACATCATTATGGTGCCATAATAACCTGCACACAGTATATTATTTCTTATGTAAAAGAATTACATGAAGTATTTACTGGCTGGTATATTTGGCTGATTAATTCAGGGAGTTTTTGAATGAAGGACTCAATAAGTGTCCCTACATGTGGGATATTAACATGTGGCCCATCGTGACGTGGAAAGCGCCTGTGAGACTTTAACATTGGGATTAATACATTTGTTTATTGTGTCGTAAGAAGCCGCAACCTTTTCATTTTAAACTCCTCAGCACAAAGACATTGACACACACAGATGTTACGTCAACATGTTCTCTGAACCAGCTCCTCAAATGTGTGTCTCCAGATTCCCAAAACGGGCACCGTGAACCGCGAGGTGCAAGGAGAGCTGTTCTTCACCAACACGCTCAGCGAGACGCTGACGCGGTGCACGCTGACGCTGTCCGGGAGCGGCCTGATGCTCGACGAGCGCCAACTGAGGTGTGTGCGCGTGCGTGTGTGCGCGTGCGTGTGTGTGCGCGTGTGTGTGTGCGTGTGTGGGCTTGTCTGACATAGCTCACGAATGCTTTTCACGGTCACAGTAAAGCTGCCAACGACAGATCATTATTTTATTACAAAAGCGATTATAATTGGTACCAGACCACAAAAAAACGGTTTGATATGAGCAACAACATTATTTTAAGAATATTAAAACAAATACAAGCTGCAATCAGAACATTCATGTCCTTTTTTTCATGAATTTCATAGTTGAGATGTTCACAACCATTAGGATTTATACACCATACTTTTTTTATTTCACAAAAGTTCAATGTTGTCCGAACACCAGCAGGGTTAAAACTAAAGTGAGCAACAATTTCAAGTCAAAGGACAAACAAACAGGATTATGAATCTGAAATCATCAACATTTGGTAATAACTTGCTGCTAAATGGAGACGCTTTGATATTTCTTTTTAGGGGTGCTTCGAAGGTCTGCGGCGTTTTTACGTGAATCAGCTCAGTTAGAAGTAAATGTACTCCCAAACTGATCCCGACTCTTTGTTGCCCCCCAGGATTCCAGATCTCAAGCCGAGCAGCAGACTTTGTGTGAGGTTCCCCCTCCTGCCCTACCAGACCGGGAGGAAGACTCTGTTGGTGGACTTTGACTGCTCCGCCTTCAGAGACATCAAGGGCTGCGGCACCATCGACGTCCGGCCCTCCATCTTCTGAGGCGCAGAGCAAGAGAAACAAGACGTCAGATCTAAAACGCTCAACGTGTCGTATTCACTCTGAGGTTTGCAGAGGAAAAGTGTGTTGTTTTTGTAGACCTAAAAGATGGACCTGCATTATACAGTAATATGTGAATAAGGGGCATTCAGTGGTACTGTCTGCTATCTACCATCAGCGAATCCTTTAAAAGTAACTGTTGTTTGTCTAAATTGAAGCACTATTTGTGTTATTTAAGCCTCCCTGTTGTTGTGTTTGGTGGACCGTCTTTGTCTTTATTTACATGTGTTTATGGTTTAATTAAAGATGCTGCTCTAATGCGATGATGCGTTCACTGAAGTTGGAGAGTGGAGCTTTAGGGAACGTTGCTCGTTGTGAAATACCTGATTGTTGACACCAAACACCTTAAACACAAATTATTCCTTGTTTATAAGAAGTATTTTCCAATAGTAGAAGTTTTACGTTTAAAAAAAATGTATTGCCCAAATATGTGAACACACACAAGGAATTTGAGCAAAGATAAACAGATTACAATTAAAAAGAAATACAAAGTGACGACTGACAGATTTGATGTGGAAGCTACATTAAAAAACAATCGTAAATAGTGCAAAAAATACATACACATTGTTTAATTTAATAGATGCAGATATAAATCTATCATATATAGAGTATTTAGGATTCATAGTTGACAATGCTGACTGATGAATACAATACAACAGAGTATATTAAACTGTAAATATTAGTAGTAGATGTCATAGCCAACGCGGCCACCAGAGGGCCTCGGTGAAATTGTTCAACGTCCTACAATTTTCAACAGGACCTGAACGCAACGCGGCGAAGCAAAACTGATACAGTTCCGTCCTGAAGAGCTAACGACGTTAACCGACGGAGAAGTGCTAGCTAGTCACAGCTAACCGGCGACTTCCTCCCCCACCGCGCAGAAACACCCGAGCGGCGCCTCGAAGTCCACGTTAAAACAAGTACGCAGAGTAATGTCCGTAATAACGACGAGTGCGGTTAATATCAGGTAACGTTTCCGGTAGCCGTTTCGACCGAGCTGTGAAGAAGAGGAGGACTTCCCCAACCGCGTGTGTCGCTTTCTCTCGGATACCGGCCGCCGGTAAGAAGTGTGCGAGCGCTTCCTTACGTAGAGGCTAGCTAGCCAGCTAGCTCGCTAGCGGTTGAAGAATGCTTAGCTTGCTAAGTTAGCCGACCTGGAAAAACTCCACTCGAGTTAGCGTGTTTTGGCTAGCGAGCTACTGTGGCGACAATTGAAACCGAAAGAAAGAAACGTCGAACATAACGTCTCGTCTGAAAGGAAACACTTTAGGTTAATGGGTAACTGATCAGTTAATGGACGCCATCAAGCTACGACAATATACTAACGTTAGTCGGTTAGCTAACATGTATTTTGTGTTTTTCATTAGCCGGCTAGTCGGTGCGCTCTGTAGGTAAACTGGGCCAAGACCGGTCTGGTTACTTACATTTACAGCCAAGTATATTTTTATTGTGTGGCGTTAAACCCTAAAACTCTGCGGCCGTGATTTCAGTTTAGTTGGAACTGCGTCAGAGAGCTGTGCGACGTTGCGAGATGTTCGGTGTTCTTTTCGCCAACGCAATACAATATAGAAATTAGCTCCAACTAAAGGCTTAAAAAGCACATTACAGTTGAAATGAACAACTCGTTGAAACCGAACCGTCCGCTAGAGACACTATTATTAGGTGCCACTCAGGTTTTGGTCATCGTCCCGTTCTCACGCTGAGGACCAGTTCGGTGAGCAGCTCGGCCTCTGTGGGGAGATCCTGGAGAGAACATTGCTTTTTATCCTCACGGCTGAAGCTGTGAGAACCTGGGGCCCGTTCATGTTACCTCACCTCTTCAAGCAGGTCCATCCAGTGTGTTGAGATCTGACCAATGATATATTAATGTATAGTGAACATCCATTGGATTTGGAGTTGCCACCCAGGAGATACAAGAGACGAAAAACTGATGCTGTGCATAAATCATTTATTCCCACACAGATTAGTTCTGTGTATAAAAGCGAAGCGAGGATATCAAACTCAAATTAAGAATTTAACGTTTAAAATTTAATCTTTGATCGACGACAATCTCCTTCATCGCACCAGCAGCCCGAACGAATCTCTACACGTCGTTCTACAAATATGTATATGACGCGTTTTAAACAATAATTACAAATGTACAACGTCTCAATGGTCGCAGGTTCCTTGGGTAAATGTTTGGATCTATTTGGTAATCACTGTTCTATCTTTCAGTAAAGAAGAAGAGATGCCTCAGAAACAGAGGACCAAGTCCTGGACGGAGTTGAAACAAGCTGGAAATGAATGTTTCAAGACGGGCCAGTATGGAGAGGCCACCAATCTTTACAGCCAGGCAATCAAAGAGCTGGAGAAGTCCAGTAAGTGCTGCTCGGATATCGTCTGTCGATACATATTGAGTATAGTCACAATTATCTTTTCTTTACAATAAGGAGGCCAAGTTAAATTAACAACGCCATCAATGGCAAAGGTCATTTGATTTACAAATGCATTTCAACTGACGATGTTAGAATACAATGTGCTATAATCGTTCTGACTGGGAAGTGAAAGGGAAACTTACTGATCCCTGCTTTCTTTTTTAAGTAGTCTGGTTGCTTTGACAAAAGTCTTGATAAGTTTCACCTCCAGCTTGATTGAGGTGGTTTGACCAGTTGTGCTGAACGCTCTTCTACAACGGCCTTATTTCTCTTCTCAGATAAAAAGAACCCAGAGGATTTGGGCATTTTGTACTCCAACCGTGCAGCCAGCTACCTGAAGGAGGGCAACTGTGGCGAATGTGTGAAAGACTGCAATACGTAAGTGTTCTATTGGCGTGTCTCCCTTTTTGTTTTTCATGTGATTCTGTGCTGGTGTCTTAGTGTTTTCGTATCAGCTGTACCATCTGTAATGTTTTCATCTTTGGAAGTTTCTGTTCTCGACACGTTCTCACACATTTCTCCATATCTTATCAAGTGATAATCATTTATTACATTACATTACATTACAGGTCATTTAGCAGACGCTTTTATCCAAAGCGACGTACATTACACTTTAAACCCATGGCTTTTTCACATTTTTGCCTGGGGAGCAATTAGGGGTTAGGTGTCTTGCTCAGGGACACTTCGACATGGAACATGGGGCAGCCTGGACTCGAACCACCAACCTTGTGCTTCCCAGCACACCTTCTCTAACCCCTGCGCCACGACGACCCCTTATGAAACGTTTACTGTCATGCTAGCGATCTTTTTGTCATCGCTGGTCTCGGCTGTGACTCTTTGAGCTCATTCTCCTGTCTGTTTCCTCTCAGTTCTCTGGATTTGTTCCCGTTCAACGTGAAGTCGCTGCTGCGCCGAGCTGCTGCCTACGAAGCTCTGGAGCGCTACAGGCTCGCTTACGTGGACTACAAGACTGCTCTGCAGGTCGACTGCAGCATAGCCGCTGCTAGCGACGGCACCAACAGGTACCTGGTGTCGTAGATCGGCCGAGCGGCTCATATTCAGATGTTCATATCGGTCCACTGCAACGAGTGTTTTTAAAATACCAATCAGAGATTGGATCATTTGTGTCATACTTTTCTTAATTCACCTGTGTACTGTCACAGTGTTGTTAGAATGCACGGCGGAGCGAAGAACTGAGTCATTTGCACTATCCGGTGTGGTCACCACAGGGGAAAGGGACACGTACGGGCGGCAGCAGGTGTTGGGCTGGTTGGGGTTTAAACTATTTACGTTACACGATGATCAGATCTATTTCAAGATCTGGAAGCCCAACGGAGAGATTTATTTTTCCGGGAATCTTTTGTTCTATTTGGAGGACGAAAGGCGGCGTTTTTCAGAAGCGCTTTCTGCTCACCGGGTCTTTATCTCGTCTCAGGATGACGAAGGCGCTCACAGAGGCAGACGGCCCGTCATGGAGAGAGAAGCTGCCCCCCATCCCCACCGTTTCTCTGTCCGACAGAGAGAAACTGTCCCAGAAGAGTACAGCCAACGCTGCGCAGCCCAACCCGACACCCAAGCAGAACGGCACCAGACAAACCAACAAACCTGGTGAGAACGTTGGTTTTCTATTCCTGTAATCAGGATTATTACTAAAAGAACCAGGTATTCCTATTCGGCTGAAAAGGCAAATGTGTTTAGACGATATTTAAAAAGAACGTCTCATATCAAAACATGTCTTCAGCCGCTGTTAATGTGGAGCTTTCATTATGTGGAAAATTTTATACAGTACTGAAATTGTTAATTCATCATAATTTCTGGTTCCTTCCTCCCATCAGTTCCCAGTGACAAAGACGCAAAGAAAGCACAAACTCTGAAGGAAGAAGGCAACGTTCTGGTGAAGAAAGGAGAGCACAAGAAGGCCATAGAGAAGTACAGCCAGAGCATCAAACTCAACCCCACCGAGCTCACGACCTACACCAACCGGTGGGTCACAGCTCTCCTCCCCTTCAGTGACCCACTTTAAAATAAACAAACCTTTTTAACACAATGAATTAATAATAACCAACAGTTCTTTTATGAAAGTCAACATTTAGAATGCGTCCTATTTTGTGTCGTTTTCCGCTCATGAGAGAACTTTGTTTATTTGCTCGTCGTCAGGGCGCTGTGTTACCTGTCGGTGAAGCAGTACCGGGACGCCGTCCGGGACTGTGACGAGGCTCTGCTCATCGACAGCAGCAACATCAAGGCTCTCTACAGGAGGGCTCAGGCTCACCTGGAGCTCAAGGTGAGACCTCCTCCTGGTTCCTACGCTGGGGGAGGAGAGGGAGTCATTCACGCAGAGAGGACACGCTCAGCCCGTTGGGGCCGATTGTTGTTTTGGAGGTTTTGTGTCTGATTTAAAAATAGAAAAGGGACGTGGCTCGCTGAGTAAGCACAAGTCACCACAGAGAGTAGCGGCCCTTTCCCAGCTGCCTCCTCAGTGTTTGAAGGACTCATTCTCCTCCAGATGAATGATTTAGCTTGTTTTTAAATGAAACTTTCCCCTTCAGAGAGGAGAATCTCTAAAGAGCGATGCTACTGTTCGGCCTGTAACTCTCGTCTCCCTGCAGGACATCAAAGGCTGCGAGGACGACCTGAGCGTCCTTCTCAGGGTGGAACCAAAGAACGTGGCCGCCCTGAAGATGCTGCAGGACGCACGCAACCAGAAGTGATGACTCGGGCGGTAAGGATCTGTCACTGCGCGGCCTACGAGGGGGGGGGGCAGCCGAGCAGTGACACGATCCGACCGCCTTCGGCCTGCGTTTCCCAAAAGCCTCGTTCAGGCCGAACGTGCGTTTGATCCGCTGACTCACCGGAACAAACGCCAGCTCGGCAGCGAGCCGCTTCTGGAAAACTCTGCTCCGCCCGATGGGGATTCAGGAAGAAGCCTCGATGAAGGTATTCTACCGCTTTTAGTGTCACTAAATTTATGGTTATTTATGCAACGGCTGAGGTTATTGCCATGCATCCCAGTTCTAAACGGAGAATAAACCTCTACCCGATGTCGAGCCATCGCACGGAGCCGCTGCTGGACGCCTAAACACGGAGCTCCGCCCACTTTCCCCACATCTCACCGTCGATGGATGGACCACAAACTTCTTAGACCAACGCCGCGTCGTATTCTGACATCAGGCCTCCATGAACCAGAAGAAATAATGTAGTTGTGATATGAATAAATACAACAATCCACTGTGCTCTTTCATTATATCTGGGTGAGGAACATGAATACAACTAGATGGCAAAACTGCCCCATTGGGCACCCTGTTCCACATTAGCAGTTCATCTTCCGTTTAGAATTAAGTGTATATTGAAGCCTGATCATAAATCCCCACAAGTAAATGACCATTTTTAACTTGTTCTCCACCGTTTGGTCCTCTGAGGCTTTCGGTTGTTTCTCAGCATGGCGATATGCGCTATCTGTTCACTATTGTGTTTAAAGGCGCGTGGGATCCTCCTGGTCTACATCTGTTTTTGGCCGCTGAACCTTTGAGATATTGGGGTGATTATCAAGAACTGGGTCACAATGTCAAACAAGTTCCAGGCAGTTGATTCTCGTGAACGAGTCAGTTTTTAAAGCTCTGCGTTCAGAGCCTGAGGGGCACCAAACATTCTTACCTTTACATCTGTATTGCTTCAATTGTTTGACCTTTAGGGTCTGTGCATCAGTTTCTTTTTGAATGACAGCATCCTGACGTCGACTCATTGGTGATCCTGCTGTAGCTTGGCAATCTCTATCTTGCCCAAAGTGCCTGTCGCTCGCTCCCCAAATGCAAATGTCTTTGTTTTCTCACCATCCTGCTGTTTGTAACTTTATTTAGTTTCAGTCACCCTGTTTGAACTGCAAATAAAAACAAACTAAGAACTGGATTTGTCACATGTCAAGAAAAGTGTTAATAAAGATCAGTCATAAAAAGAAATCCAGAAGACAAATGCCCTTAATTCCAGTTGATTTTAATTACCAAATGTACATCATCTCATGGTTTAATGTCATTAAAACACACAGCCTAAGACATTGACAAGTGACCCCTTAAGTATCAAAAGTAATAACTATTAGCATTTAAACATTCCGATGAGATGTTAAGACACTTTATTTTCCAGCAGCTAACTGTCACCGATTAGTGGCGGCGACATTCACCCAAAGGATTCTGGGATATCAGTAGTCATGAGAGCGTTGCAGGTTGGTCCTCTGCAGTAGTCAAAGGGGCCTGAGCCTCATTTAGTAGAGATGTGTGTAGAGCCAAAGACTTCCAACGACTAAGATTAATCAAGTGTGAGAAACGTTTCCATTGATCGTTTGGCCTCCTGATTCCCTGCAGAGAAAATGACCCACGAACAGAAACCGTCTCCATCTGATGCGTTTCACTTTAATTTGTAGATTTTCTTGAGGGGGGAGTTTGGCAGATTGAGACGTTTCAAAGCAAAAATGTACACACAACTTTATCAAGAGTGCAGCTCATGGGTTCCCACGTGTTTCTCGGCGCCTCACGGCACGCTGACCTGGAAGGGGGAGCCCGGGATGTGCTCCTCGCCCCACTTCACCACCAGGATGTAGTTGCCCCGCTCCTTCAGCATGTAGCTGACGTTGTACTGCAGGTTGCCCAGGTGCTTGACCAGGACCTCCTCGCAGGGGGTCTGGGGGCCCAGCACGCCCACCAGCAGCATGTTCTTCCCTGGGGAGGGAACGCCAGCGTCGTTAGAAGGGTTTCAAAAAAAAAAAAAAAAAGGACTGGGACATTCAAGGTGAAAGCATCGCTTGGGTTCTTTGGTTTTTAAATAAATCAAGAGAAGTAGAGTCATTTTCTCAGACTCAGATCATGTGGTGGGCGGCGTCTTCCTTACCGGCCTTGCTGCAGTCTATCGAGAAGTTGCTCCTCTGGCCCACGAAGGCCTTGCTGAGGCCGGGGCCCCGGCTCGACACCTTGCTGGCGTCCGAGTCACTCGCCCAGGGCGCGGCGCTCTGGCTGGACGCCCTCGCCGCCGGATCCAACGTCAGGGTCGACGTCTCGCTGCCGTTCGTAACGCTCACCAGTCGAGAGCCTGAGAGACGGAAAAAGAAGATCCGATACAACCATTTGATTAGATGTTCAGACGCATTTCATACCTCCATCCCTCACGTTAAGGCCCGCCTCCTCTCACCTGTGACTTTGGCCTTGAAGGGACTGCCGCCGATGTGATTCGGCCCCCCGTATTTGATGCTGATCAGGTAGTTCCCGGGCGCCATGGGGGTGTACTGCACCTTGTAGCCCTCCGGAACCTCCCTGCAGTCCATCTTCACCTTGGACGGGCCCTCGATGGTCACGGCCAAGGCCCCGGGGCCCGCCTTGGTGTTGTTGATGGTGAACTCGGACTGGCTACCTGTGAGATTCAAAATAAAAACATTTTTAATCTCTTCGATCCGTCATTTGGCCTCGACTAGGAATGGTCTTAATTTTGACGGACAGGTAGCGCACCTGTCGTGCCCCTCTCCAGCCCGGCGCCGTACGCAGAGACCAGACCGGGCTCTCCGGTCTGTCCCGGCTTTCCGACTCGGACCTGGAAAGGACTTCCCGGGATGTGAGAGCGGTTGAACTTCACGTCGATGGTGTGGACGCCGTTCTCCCTGGGGATGAACCGGATGGCGTACTTGTCTGGGAGAACAAGGAAGGAGGATCTGGTTACCCAAAGTAACCACCACGACGGGGGGGGGGGGTACACGCACGCACCTTGCTCCAGCTCCGTGACGACACACTCCTCCAGGGCTCCGGAGGGGCTGTGGACTTTGGCCTCCAGCTTGCCCTGCGCGCCGTTCAGACGCACCGCAAAGGATGCTGGGTGGTTTGCCTTCAGACCAGACTCCTAGCGCGGCCGCACACAAACACACAACAGTCACACTTGTAAGCAGACGAGTGAAGGAAGCAGAGGTTCCTCCTGCGCTTACCTGAGCTCCAGGTGTGCAGCTCCAGCAGACGGAGGCGCGCACACACACACACACACACACACACTCACTCACGCCTCAGTCTGCTGTAACCAGGTAACCCGGAAGCTGACCACAACGTTGATAAAGCTGTTAAAACGCCTTTAAATGAAACACAAGAGAAACACCAGAGGTTCCACACCGGACGGACGACCAGAGCCAGGCAAAAAAAAGTCATGTTATTGGTGCTTTTATAATAAGTTTATTATAAGTTTCCTTTGATATCAGTCTATGAAAACGACCTTGTGTGTTCATCCAATATCCTGCAGGTTTTTTAAAGATATACAGAGTTCGATTTAGGTTCAGAACAACATGATTCTTAACTAAAATAATCAATTTCTGTTTCTAAAAAGAGTTGCAGCTATTTCTTACTCTTCATGACATGAAGGACGGGTCGTTTATCTGGTCGAGCCGCTGACTGTTTGCCTGGCTGGGGTCAAAACCGTGAGGCCAGTTGCATAAAGGAAGTATTTGTGAATGCGAAGGTTCGACTGACGACGTCTGTTTTTTAGGGCGACGCTTCGTTCCAAGAACGGACTCGCTGAGTCGCGCTGCAGCTCACTGATCAACTGCTAGAAACAGTCATGGAACTTCAACCCGAACCAGTCGAACCATCGCACCCCGATCATCCACCTCGGCCCCACGTTTATGCAACTGCGCCCCACCGCCCTTGAGCAAGGCAGGGCCCTGCCGGGTGTGGAGGTGTCTCCTCGTGCCTCACCTGAAGGCCGGTAACAGTCAGGCGGCGGGCGTCGTTGGCCGGAGCGACGACGGGAACCAGGTAGGGGCTGTCGGGGATGTGCTGCTCGTTGAACTTCACCGAAATCTCATAATCACCTGGAGGGGGAGGGAGGGAGGGAGGGAGGGGGGGCAACGTCACTCAGAGGCACAGCCCCATCAGGTGTGTGTGTGTGTGTGTGTGTGTGTGTGTCACGTACCGGGGTCCTGAGCGACGTAAGAGACGCCGCAGGAGCCGTCCTTGCGGTCGTCGAAGGAGATCTCCGCCCGGCTCGGCCCCTCCACGGCGATGGACAGACCGCCGGCGCCGGCCTCCCTCGTCCAGATGCTGAACTCGGCTGCAGAGAGAGAGACACTGAAGAAAAACCCAAACGCACAACGCGCAGAGCGCCGTCTCCTCCATGAGGCGATGGCGATATTACAGCAGAGCAATGAGCTTTTTCCTTAAGAAGCTTATGAACGCACAACTCTGTGTGTGTCTGCGCGTGTGCGTACCTGGCTCTCCTGCCTGTGCTCCCTCCAGTCCCGGACCCCCCGCGGTCACCTTGGCGGCGCCGCCCTCGCCCAGGGGCCCCACGGTGAACTGGAAGGGGCTGCCCGGCACGTGCGCGCCCCTGTACCTCACGCTCACGCTGTGCACGCCCATCTCCGTGGGCACGAAGCGCACGCAGTAGGTGTCGTTGCCCGCGGCGACCAGCTCGGCAGGCTGACGGGCGCCGGAGGGGGAAGTGACCTCGGCGGTGACCTCCTGCATGTCGATCGCTGCAGAGAAAAGCCTGAGAGTTTTAACACCTGTGGGTTTGTGTACAGTAAATGGGGGGGGGGGGGATCAGGAAGCAGCTGCAACTTTAATATTATATAAATTAATAATAAAGCTTGTGTTGCAAACTTTGTGCGATTGCGTTTTCCCCCCCCAACGCTACAACGCACCCTCCACCTGGGCCTCAACCACCCAAACGCCCCTCGCTGCCCTCGACCCCCCCGCCAGCACCACGCCGGAGAGGCCGGAGACGAGGCGCACGCGCCCGGGGGAGAGGCTCCGATCTCCGGCGACCGCAGCGGAACAAAGCCGCCGACCGACGGGTCGACCCGACCACCGCAGGGAGCAGCAGGAGCGGAAGGAGGCGCGAGAGAGGAGCTGCCGAGACAAGACGAGGAGGAACCAGCTCCCTGGAGGGAGCAGAGGGAGGGAAGGAGGCAAGGAGAGGAGGAGGAGGAGAGAGGGATGGAAGGGCAGAGGAGGAGAGAAGGAGAAGCTGAGGAGGAAAAGTGGGAGACGAGCAAAGAGAAGAAGGATTAGGACAAAAGAGAACGAAAAGACCGACGAAGGTTCAGAATGAGGGAAGATCAAGAAAAGACAAAGCTGACAGATTACAGGACGACACAGAAATGTCCACAGGAGACGAGGACGGGACGCTGGTGGGCTGTGACCCGCCCACTTTGACCCGCTGAGACGGACGAGACCGAAGCCTCCAATCACGAGCCTGAGGATTAACGAGGTCAGAGTGTGTGTGTGTGTGTGTGAGTGCGCACACACACTGTACCTGGTATCTTCAGACTGAGGTCACACACACTCCCCACGCTGGAAACGGACGCCGCCTTCTGCCGTCGGGTCACGCTCTCCCGGATACGACCCTCCCCCGTCACCCGCACTGTGAACGGACTTCCTGTTGGCGACAACATGCCGCTAGTTTAAAATCTACTCCAGAACCTCCAACGGGACAAAACATTTTATCTGCCGCTTGAGAAGAAAAGTTCTTTTCCGATAAACGCGATGGTTTTCGGACCTGGGACGTGTTCCTCTGCGAAGCGGATGGAGACGATGTAGTTCCCCGGCTCGGTGGGACAGTAGGTGACTCGACACGTCCCGTCCTCGACGTCCTCCGTCTGGATGTCCACCTTGCTGGGACCTTCGATGGACAGCGCCAGGCCGCCGTAACCTGCAGCCAAACGAAGGGAGAGGTTCCGTTTCACCGCATCCGTCTCCGGCGAGAACATCTGGGTGCGCGGGGCGCTTCTCGCTCACCGGCGTCCCGCGTGTCCACCACGAAGCTGGAGTTGCTGAAGGTGGTCCCCCGGACGAGGCCGTCGCCGCCAACCTTCACCTGGCTGGCGTCGCCGATCTCCGACTGGACGACCATGATGGTGATCGGACTGTTGGCCACGTGGCGGCCGTTCTTCAGGATGCTGACCCGGTGCTCGCCCACCTCGCGGGGGATGAAGGAGATACCTGGGGGGAGGGGAGGGGGAGATGATTTCATCAGGAAGAGACAGGAAACAGAAGGTGGAGGGAGACTAAAGGAAAGAAAGAAACGAGGACGACAAGAGGAAAATGGGAGGGAAGGAGGACATTAAAGAGGAATGGAAGCAGGGGGACGAGGGACGTTACCGATGTGGTTGTTGGCCATCCTCTTCAGCAGGCAGGGCTCGTCGCGGCCGGACGGCGACACGATGCTCGCCGTCAGCACGCTCAGGTCCGTCTCGCTGATGTCCAGAGAGAAGTCCGCCGCCGAGCCCAGTTTGACCTGAGAGCGCCGCTGGTTGTCCTCTGAAAGCAGGTCAACATGTCAAGACCTCGAGGCTCCGCGGGGACACGGGACGTGGGGGGGACGGGACACTGACCGATGATCCTGGCGCTGAACGGGCTGCCGGCGATGTGCTTGTCGTTGTATTTGACCAGAATGTTGTAGTCCCCGGGGAGGGTGGGCATGTAGCTCACGCTGCACGTCCCGTCCTTGTTGTCCACGCAGTTGATGTCTGCTTTGGACGGACCCTCGATGGCCAAGTCCAGACCCCCTGGGAGGGACACAGAGGCCACTTGTTATCAAAGGCCACCGACCGTGGCGCACGGAGTGCAGAGGGAGCGCCGGGAATAAGAGCAGCTTTTTGTACGGCGACAATCAGTCAAGATGAAGGCGCTCGCGCCGGCACCTTCGGAGGCGTCCTCCGTGAAGACGGTGAAGGTGGCGGCCCTGTTGGCGACGCCGTAGCTCAGTCCGGGGCCGTAGGCCGTGACGTTGGGACTGCTGGCGTGGTTCACGTAGAACTGAAGGGGAGACTCTGCCACACAGACACACAATCATGGTTACATCATCACAGGTAAAAGGTATCTGCAGCTTACAGTTGTGACCTTTAACTAAGCCCCATCGTGCGTGTGTGTGTGTGTGTGTGTGTGCACACCTGGGATGTGCGTCCCGTTGTATTTGATGTGCATCTCGTGCAGGCCGGCCTCGGTGGGCGAGTACTGCACGGTGACCGTCCCGTCCAGGTTGTCGGAGATCACCGGTTGGGCCGATTTACCTGAAGGCATCAGCACCTCACCTGAGGGAGGGACGCAGCGTTAAAGACGCAGTCCGTCCCTTCGGGGTGAAGACGGACGCCGAACTTCCCATCGTCCCCTCGACGGGCTTCCCTCACCTGTGATTTCTCCCTTGGTGAAGGAGAACGGAATCACCATGTCGAAGGGCCTGAAGCCGCTGCCGTTGACGCTGCCGATTGGCTGGAAGCCGTCTGATGTCACCTGGGAGACGACAAACGCGGGATGACAAATCTACCCGACAACAACGTCGCGTCAGTCCGCCGCCACCTGCGTCAGGAACATGCTGCCGCTGCACCCGAGCCCCCGTTCACAAGAGGTGCATGTTGGGAAGTGTAGTGCGATGGAGCAGAGGAGGACGACTGTGATGCAGCCGCAGCGATGAAGAGTGCACTGAGGAAGATATCGACCGGGGGAGGGAAAGAGGAACCAGCACAACAAACCCCCGAAAAACACACGTAACCATAGCGACACCCCCTGCAGGCAGAAGGGTTGGAGGTTTCCCCCCGTTGGCTGAGACGAAAGACGACACTGAGGACGAGCAGGAGACGGAAAGCGAGAGAGACCAGCAGCAACCTGCAAGAGGGTGTGTGTGTGTGTGTGTGTGTGTGTGTGGAGGGGGAGGAAGGGGGAGGGGTACCCAGGGCTGGGAGCCAGCTTTGAGGGCGGCCTGTTGTCCAGACGTCTGCGCTTCAATTATTGGTACCTCATCAGTAGCCTGAAGACGACAGTGAGGGTTAAAACACACACACACACCTTAAGTTTGTTGCTTGTTAGTTCAACAACGTTAGATGAATCAAACCAGCAGCGGCCGCTTGTGGTCAATCGATTGATCTACGAGTCATTAAATGCGATGGCTCCGCCCCCCCTCACCATGACTTTGAAGGGACTGCGTGGAACGTTTTCCCCCCCGAAGCGGACGTAGATGACGTAGTTGCCGGGCGCCGGCGCCGTGTAGAAGATGTCGAAGGTGCCGTCCTCGTTCTCCAGCACCTCGGCCTCCACCTCGCTGCCGTCAGGCTGGACCACCACGCAGCTCACCTTCCCCTTCCCGGCGCCCTTGGCGTTCACCACCAGGCCCAGCTCCTCGCCGATGGTCACGGTGGGACCCACGCCGGGACCTGCCGCGATGGTTTATTCATTTATTTGGGTTTCTTGTTGCAGCGGTTCTTTTTATTCACATGTTGGGGTTTTCCGTACCGGTGACGGTGCACTTGCTGGCGTCTCCCGTTGCCGTGGCGCGGACTCTGTACGGCGAGGCGGGGATGTCGTCGCCGCCGTACTTTACGACGATGGTGTAGCGGCCGGCGCGGTCCGGGACGTAAGAGACGCGGTACGTTCCGTCACCGTTGTCGTGGATACCGGGCTGCCTGGGTTTACCGTCCTGGTCCTGATGTGGAAGAAAGACAGATGTGTTTTTTGTTCCTGCTATTTGTGCGCGTTATAATGTGTGTGTGTGTGTGTGACTAACGGTGATGAGCACGCTCAGTTGGCCCTGCCCGGCGTCCTTGGCGTCGATGTGGAACTCGACGGGGAAGCTGGCGGGGACGCCGGTGGTCAGGCCGGGGCCGCTGGCTCGCACTTTGCTGGCGTCGTGCGTCGGCAGAACGCGAAACTTGAAGGGACTGAAGAGAGCGAGAGAGTCGAGTCACTGAGGACAGCGTGCCGACGAGCACATGAGCAAGGCATCAAGCACCACCACCGCACGCATCAAAGGGAACTGGATGTTGAGATCTTTGAGGCACCTTCTGTGTGAAAATAGTTTACAACAAAAACGAAACTTTCTCCTGCAGGTCGGCGCTGCTCAGTACCTGCGGGGGACGTCCTCCTCGCCGTACTTGACGGCCACGGAATACGGCCCCTCCACGGACGGCGTGTAGGACACCAGGTGCGTCCCGTCCCCGTTGTCCGTCACCTCCACCGGCTCGGCCGCGCCTTTGAGGGCGGCGACAGCCACGGCCAGCGGGGCGACGCCGGCCTTCCTGCAGTCCACAGTGAAGGATTGTGGGACATTGGCCCGGACGCCGGACCCCACGCCGGGACCGGACACCTTGACCTTACTGGAGTCCACCGCGTCCTTCACCGGGACCTTGAAAGGACTTCCTGTGGGCAACAGGAAGCGGAGCCATTAGCCTGAGTGATTGGCGGTTGCTGTGTAAAGTTTATTGTCCCGCCCTTGATGTGGTTTCTGCATCCTGAGCAACAGACGTCAAAGAAAAGCCTCGAGCTCGAGGACACACGCTGAGCTTTTTCCTGAGCAAACTCCATTAAACGGAGCTGCGGCGGCGCTTTTTTTTACTTGCAACACATCTTTAAAACATTAAACTTAAACAGTCCGCTTCTTTTATCGGCCAATAAAACCAACAGCACCTTTTAAACACCGAGCACATGTTTTCAATCCTCTACGGGAGTCAACAAGGGACAGACATGATCCAGATTCTCATTATACATTCTTCTTCTTACCGTCCAGTTCAAATGTAAAAACAACTTGATCCACTGGAGCAATATTTGTGCCTCGATACATCGGCTTTGATCCATACAAACATGCGTCTCACCGGGGATGTGCTCTCCGCCGTAGGTGATGTTGACCTCGTAGGGGCCGGGCGTGAGGGGGACGTACTCCACGCTGCAGCTGCCGTCCTTGTTGTCTTTGCAGGACATCTTCGACTCAGACGGACCCTCCACGGTGATGCCCAGACCGCCTATGCCGGCCCCCCTGGTTGACGGGGGGAGAGGGTGTCAACACAACCAAAAATCAAGTTTCCAGAGAGAGAGAAGCCTCGTTACCGCGGCGACGGATCGCCGCGCGAAGCAGCCCCGGCGGCGCTACCTGGTGACGATGTTGAAGTGGTTGGGCTGCTCGGTCAGGGCCTGCTGGAGGCCGGGGCCGGTCGCCACCACCCTGCTGGGGTCACAGCCCTCCGCCACCGCCACCCGGAACGGGCTCTGAGGCACCGGCGTGTCGTCGTACAGGACCTGGACGCTGTGGACGCCTGAAATTCCACACCGGGACAGACGGTCACGACCCGGGCGCGTTGCCATCGGCTACGGTTACAGGCGGTCGCTTACCGTTCTCGAAAGGAGTGTAGTCGACGTTGTAGATGCCAGTGGCGTTGTCGGTGATCTGACAGTCCGTCAGCGCGCCGGACGGGTTCTTGACCTCCGCCCTCACGTGGTCTCCCCCCCGCCGGGTCAGAGGACGGGCGTCCACCGTGAACGACGTGGTGGCTTCTCTGAAAACATCTGTGAGGAGAAGAGAAGGTTTAATAAAAGTAATGTAATTTCCATCAAATTACAAAGTGCTTTTTAAAAACAAACTGATGTTTTAGTATTTCGGATTTCAGCCTGAACTCAGATGGACCACAATGCACCTTGTCCTTCCACTCCGGGTCCGAACACTTTGACCTTGGAGGTGTCTACGGCGGGGTCCACCGCCACCTTGGTGGGGAACCCGGGGACGGCCTTGCCCCCGTACTTCAGCAGCAGGGTGTACATGCCGGCGGTCAGGGGGACGTAGGTCACCGTGTACGTCCCGTCTTTGTTGTCCACCACCTCGGTCTTCGCTTTGGCGCCTGCAACAATACGTCCGGTTTTCCCGCGTTTAGATCACAGTTAGCGTAGCGTAGCATGAAGGACTACAGCGGGGGAGAGTGGGGGGTTACCAGCAGCGGGGGCGGAGCCGGTCGGACTGGCGGGCGAGGAGTCCGGTACCGCCTCCAGGCTGAGTTGACCCGGTCCGGCGCGGGAACAGTCCACGTTCACCACGCTGGTCTCGCCAACCTGCGGACGCCACAAGCCGAGCGGATCAGAGACACAAATCGCATCCACAAGGAGGCGTCCTCTTCACCCCCCCCCGTCGTCCCTTCCCTCACGCTCACCTTTGCCCTCTTCAGACCAGAACCGGACGCCACCACCTTTGAGGGGTCAAAGGGCATCTGGACGTCCGCTTTGAACGGCGAGCCGGGGATGTGCACCTCCTCGAACAGGATGTTGACCAGGTAGTCCCCGGGCTCGGTGGGCAGGTAGGAGACGGAGCAGGTCCCGTCCCCGTTGTCGGAGCACTCGATCTTGGCCTCGGTCGGACCCTCCACCGTCAGACCCAGACCGCCGGTGCCGGCGCCCTTTGTGTCGATGGTGAACTCGGCGGGGTTCCCCACCAGACCGCCCTTCAGACCGGGACCGAACGCCTTCACCTGGGGGGAGGGGGCGGGTGTTAAATATGATCTGGTCTGGTTTTATTTTCACTTCCGTTAAGACGGAACAGCGATGCTCAGATTACCTTGCTGGGGTCGGGGGGCAGCTGGGCCTCCACGGGGAAGGGGCTCCCGGGGACCGGGTGCCCGTCGTAGGACACGTTGACGGCGTGGACCCCTTCCTCCGTGGGCGTGTAGCGCACCCGGCTGACGCCCGCCCTCGAGGCCTCAGGCTCCGTTTTGACCTTCAGCGCCCGCTGGCTGGGACTCAGCTGGAGACAAAGAACACAGGATGAAGCGTCACTCTACTGGTTCTATTCGGGGGGGGGGAGAAGATCCGAAACAACCGGTGACCCCGAGGTCAAACGACCCGGAGCCAAACACTCACCACTGTCACCTCCAGGCGGCCTTGACCTCCTGCACCTTTGGTGTCCACCACGAACTGCTGCTCCTGATCGACCTCGGCTCCTGAAAAAAACATTGCTGTGTTTCTGTAACTTGGATTTAAAATGTGGTAGAAGTCTCGGTCACGGTGGGCCGGTTCCTCACGTCCTTCCAGGTCGTCCACAATGACTTTGCTGAGATCCAGCGGGGCGGCGACGCCGACCTTGAAGGGGCTCTTTGAGATGGCATCTCCTCCGAACTTCACCGTGACGCTCTGCTCCCCCTGCAGACACGACATGTCAACGGCCCCGCCCGCGGCACTGCGGCGTGCTGCCGTTTCCCTGTTTGGACGTACCTGTTGCACGGGTGTGTACTTGACCGTCTGGGAGTAGTCGTAGTTGTCGATGATGTCGAAGTCGCTGACGGGGGAGGAGAAGGAAACGTCCAGCGGGGCTTTACCGGCCCCCTTAGTCAGCACCGTGAAATGAGTCGGCTTACCGGCCTCCACACCTGCGAGAGAGAGAAACGTTGTTCCGTAGAAATTGCGAATTGGTTCCCTTGTGTGATAAGAGTGTGTGTGTGTGTCTCACCAGTACGAGCCACTCCAGGACCCTCGGCCTTGACCTTCGATGCGTCGTGAGAAGGTTCCACTTTGATGTTAAATGGACTCTGTGGAACTTCCTGCGAGAGAAAATTCAGACAAACCACGTTCACCGGAGGTTCTACCAGTGCAGAGGTGTGTGGGTGTGTGTGTGTGTGTGTGTGCGCGCACCTTGTCAGTGAACAGGACTTTGACGGTGAGGTTTCCCGCTGCAGGAGGCATGTATTTGACGGTGAAGGTGTCGTTGGCGTTCGGGATGATGTCAAAGTCCACGTCGGCCTCTTGGTCACCGACCATGTTGGCGGCACACTTGATGCCCACGCTGACGTCCCCTGGACACACACACACGATGAGCTGCCTTTTGTCTTTGGCGGCCACAAGGGGGGGCCAGACCACGCCGCTGTCGGTTCACTTTAACAAACTGGCGTCGTGACCCTTTTTGCCCCCCAGGATGTTAAGCTGCTGCAGACTCTCCAGTGTAAACAGCGACCAGCTCTGCCGCACAATGAGCTCGTTTCCTGCAGCAGAACCGAGCCGTCAATCACTGCACGAGGAATTCAAGGTATGAGAGGAATGAAGCAGCAAACTGAGAACCCCCTGGAGCCGCCCCCCCCCCCCTCATAGAATACTCCGGTCCTTCCGTGGGGGATCAACCCACAGTGACAATTAGAGTAGAAGTCGGTAAGCGTTGCTGGTGATCTGGTCGCCGTGCTGAATAACAGTGTAGGAAACGACTGCTTTGAGGAGAGCAGCCATGTTAATTATGATGCATCATCTGGGCGTGAAGAGGTGGGCGATGGGACGTGATTGTGTGTCCGTTCTGCTCAGGAAGGTCGGTGATGGGTTTCCTGTCAGGATGTTTCTGGCTTGAGATCATTTCCACACACACACCAGAGGGGCAGGAGAGTGCGAGTGAAAGACAGAATTCCTCCCAGATATAAAAAGGGTCGACGTTGGTCTTTGCATTAATTGTGCGTTGTGTTCCGACACAGATGGAAAGCGCGTTCACGCCAAATAAAAACCAGTGGATTTCCGGCCTCCACCGTGTTTGTCTCACCGTCTCCGGCTCCCGAGCAGTCCACGGTGAAGTGGGTCGGCTCGTTGGCCTTCAGCCCGGTTCTTTCCACTCCGGGACCGAACACCTTCACCATCTTGGGGTGGCTCCCTTTGCCCACGTTCACCTACGAGCACCACAACAGGAAAGCACATCACAGATTTTTAAAAAAGGTGATTCAAGGAGATTTCCTCCCACAGACGTTAAAAAGAGCCCAGAAGTTCATCTTACGGTATTTTAATGAACTCAGAGATCCTCTAAATATTACTGCATGCATCACTAGATCGCTTACAAATGTACAATGTTTCATTTAAAAAAAAGAACCAAGGTACATTTCCAACACCCGTATTAACGTTTGTTAAAGGTTATACTTATTATGCTAAATCATTTCTAGAAACAATATTTTAACAGGAGCTGTGGGAAACTGATATTTCACAGGAGGCGCTAAAAGATTTAAATATGTACCGGACTGGAAGAGAACGGATTTCTCAATAGTTTTGTACTCCGGCAAAACTATTTGGCTTTAAAATGAACACTTTACTACGAGTGATCGTTAGAAATCACAAACTGCTCCACTTTCTTTTAAAGACACCGGCTGAGATTCATTTTATTAAACACTGATCTACACAATGTTTTTTGTGGACATGTAGTGATATTTATGCTCAGTGAGCACAAGAATAATTTATAAAATGATGCCAGAAGGCTTCGTGCGGTTTGTAAATGTACTCGTACGTTTCCATTCTGCCTATTTGCAACACTACAATTTATATTATATTATAAGACTATAAAATCTTTATTTATGCAGCTTAACAGATAATATGAAATAAAAACATTGTTACACGTTATGCAAGTTGGCAAACTAAAGCAAATGAACCAAACAACACAGTAAAACATGAAACGTCAGAATTTATTTTTAAACCATTCTAACTTCCACTTGTGATTTAAGTGGATGGAGACGTCTGGTTTTAGTACAGGGGAAGATGAAGGCAAGTTTCAACATGTTACAAATACAAAGAAATCATTGACTCAATTAACTTTTGGAAATCAGCGATAGTGCTTTCCTCTAAAATATCGTTTGTTCTCCAATAATTATTGCGTAATAGATGAAAAGCCGCCACAGTGAGATGAAAACGAAGCATCGATTTAAGGCAGTTCTTTCAGCCGTCTTCCTCGCTTGTGGTTTAAGTTAAAGACTGATTCATTTTTACAGGTGAGCAGCACAACCACCAACAACTATTAACATTATTGGAAGCCACAAATCTCACTTCAGCGTCCCCATTTCCACAGAAAGGCGTGTTTCTGGGTGCGACTGTTTACACTGTGAGGAACGGTGCATTCTGGTCCTGCAGGCGGCTGCAGCTCCCAACAGGCCTGCTGATTCATCACGATGACAATGGCTTTTAAACTTTGGAATCATTCGCTTTACAAGTACAGACTTCTCTGCACCTTTTTAAACGATGTGCATGGACAAAAAGCAACAAGGATTTAATTATGGAGGTGGAATGTTCCTTTTTGTTTTCACAAATAAGAAAACTTCAGATTTCAGTGTTCCTTCATCTCCGTTTCTCGCTCAAGCGGCTCTTGTCCCTGTTGGACTTTGTACCCTGACGGCTCAACAAAGGGAGCGTGTTTGCCGGCGGCTTTGTCCTGGAACAAAATCCCACATCCAGACCAATCCAGGAGTTTCTCTCCAGGAGTTTACCCTGCGGGTGAGACCGTAGAAACATTCTACCGAGACAGCTGATAAGAGCACGGCAAACACGTCCCGAAACAAGGTGGTCACAGTGCAGAACGAAGGAACCTTCGCTCGCACGAGTTCTCATCAATCACCACGAGGAGCTCAGCGAGTCTCCTAAATCACGCTTGTAGGTTTCACTGATCAAACTTGAGTTACACAAATGAAAAGAAAAAAAAGGTTCTCATTCAACCATATGAAGAGCTGCAGAGCACCAGCATCGTAAGCGATAGCTTTAGCATTTAGCACGCTCGCTTTGATAACATTTATGAAAATGAAAGGACCTGAAGAGTCAGATTCAGGGGCTGCACGTGTGAAATGTTGGCGCTACTTTAAAGGCGCTTTAGTGGCATTAATGACGTCGCTCACTGGTTTGTATCTTGATGAGAAAGTTCAGATGAAGGAAGTTCTTGTGCATATAAAAACAAAAAACAAAGCCAATTACAGTGCAGAAAAGACTGGCTAGTGATCACTAACTAGTCTTTTAGTGATTAGTGACAAATCTTCAGTAAAATCGACACAAAAAAAAAAATTAACTCTGGATTAGTAAAGTTTAAAAGACAAGACAAAAACTTAAAAGTTGTAACAGTGCAAGACAGAAAGAAGTCAGTGTGGTTCATAAACTGATTACACAGCATTTAAAAATGAATCAAAAAACATTTGATCAGCTCAACACGTTTCACATGCGATGTTTGAGAACAGAGCGAACATTCGTGATTAGTGACGATTCTTTACAGAAGGAGGACGTGTTGATTGTTGAGCTGTGAAGACGCACAAAGCCTTTGAGCTTCATGCTCATCACACACACACACACACAGACACACACACACGGCGATTTCCCACAACGTGGAACTAGAAGTAACTAAGATGAGTATCTGAGAGCAGAGACCAGCTCATCTGTAACTAGCAGCTGTATCGCTCCTCCGTGTACGTGATGATAATCAGAGGCCTCTTTTTCACTTTGCCCTCCCGGCCTCCACGTTTAGGCTCCGCGGCCCCGAAGCTCTCCGCCGATTGGCCGGCTTTCACCAACTGTCCCTGCACTAAAGCGCCTGACTGGACGACTTGGGCGCGTCCCGCCTCCACCGCGCCCTCTGGCTCTGGCGGGAAGGCGGTTCCCGTTTGAACGGGGTGCCGCGATTGGCTGCTTACCCTGAAGGGGCTGTTGGGGACGCCGACTCCTCCCCAGGCGACGGACAAGGTGTGTTTGAGAGGAGAGGCGGGCGTGTAGGAGCAGGAGTACAGCCCGTCCCCTTTACTCCTCGCCTTCACCTCCACAGGAAGCCCCTCCGCGTCCTGACGGGGGACAGGAAGACATTTAGCACACACCTCAATGTACAATTGTTTGTTTGTATTCAGCCTTCGTGGGAGGGTTCGGTTTGAGGGGATTCACCTGAGCAGTGATCTTCAGGGGTCCTTTCCCAGCATCCTTGGCGCTGACGGTGAACTCGGCGGGTTGGTTCAGCAGGCAGCCGGTCTTCTCAAGCCCCGGACCGAAGGCCTGGACCTACAAACCCACAGAAACGGGACCGGACGTGGAGTCAATAAAAGCTTCCGTGACTGGCGTCGGTCCAGGCTGCGGTTCCCAACGGACCTTCTCCGCGTCGCTGCTGCCGCTGTCGGCGACGATGTGCGCCATGAAGGGGCTGTGCTCGATGTCCTCCTCGTCGCAGGTCACGTGGACGGCGTATTCGCCGGGCTCCGTCGGCCAGTAACGGACATCGCACGAGCCGTCGTTCTTGTCCTCGCACTCGATCTTGGCCTGAGAAGGCCCCTCGATGGCGAAGCCTGCAGGTGGGATTAGGGCGGAGGTGAAGAGATGGAGACCTTTGATCCGATCGGACCGCAGTTTAAAAATCGCCCACGTGGTAAATACAAAATAAACCCACCAAGAACTCCGACATCGGTGCCGACGGACTCCACCACAAAGGTGGCAGGTTTACCCACAATGCCTCCCTCCAGGCCAGGACCCCAGGCCCTGATCTGCTGAGGCCCCGCCTCCCGACCCACCGCCACCTCGAACGGGCTGAAAGGAAGAGAGCAGAACCAAGAATGGGCACGAGCGCACAATCCTCCACTCGCATTATAACAAACAGTAAAATGACTGTGTGTGTGTGTGTGTGTGTGAGAGAGAGAGACACCGCACACTGCATGAGGTCATCCTCGAGGTTGTCAACACACAATTCAACTTCCTCGGCCCCTCACAGGGACGCACAACTGTACACACGCACAACTGTAATTCAAGCTTCAACTATTGTGTGTGTGTGTGTGTGTGTGTGTGTGTGTGTGTGGATGGAAACTACCTACACGCCAAACAAAACGTCTGTTGGAATTCGCCGTCTTGTTGCCCTTTAATCCTCGTCTCTAATAAAGACTGTTGTGACGTCACGTTTCAGTTGTAGTAAACGGGGGTTTTGACTTTATTTGCCGTGCGAGAGAACCAACCACCGGCGGTTACGTCGCTTCCTCCGTGCGCCGAGTCAAATGATCTGTAACATCATTTAACGTCACCACATCTGGACCCCAGAGACACAAACAGCTGGGGGGGGGGATTGAACGCCGTCTCTACGGATTTGTACGAATATCGTCTTGTGTAAAATGCAGACAGCGTCTTCGTGAACGTCATCCTGGTTTCTACCAGCGGGATTAAACGACGGCTTCGTCGCCGTGGGAACGCTGTGACCCCGTGTGACCTCTGAGGAGGCCTGAAACCCCCGGCAACACGCACACATCTCCCCTCACAAAGCCTGATCCACACATTGTCTGTCTGGTTACTCATCGCACACGTAGCTGTAAGGACGTGAGCCGGAACACACCGACGATTACGCTCGCACAGCGGTGACAAAGAGCACGAGGCCCACCAGGCGTTCCCATCCGATGAGGTCATGCGCCGAGCTAATTCCCTGAACACACACACACAATGCAGCTCACCTCTTCGGGATGTGTTGACCGCCCCAGGTTATGGAGACGGTGTGTTTGCCGGCGCTGCTGGGATGGTACTCGTAGGAGAACACAGCGTCCTGAGCGGAGATCTGCTTCACCGGCTCCTCGACGCCCTCTGAACACACACACCAGAACAATCAGAAATCAAATCTCTGCCATCGAGTGTAAAGAAGCCGCTCTACCGGGCGCAGTTGGTACATCAATCTTCCCCGTAGCGGTCAGGACATTTCCGTCTGGGCCGACGCACCGACCCACGGGGCGAACGCTGTACTCACTGGGTCCTTTGACGAGCACCTTCAGCTCCCCGCTGCCGGCGTTCCTGGTGTCCACCTTGAAGTCTCCGACCTGCTTCACCCTCATGCCGGACGGCTGGAGGCCGCGGCCCGTCGCCCTGCAGGCGCCCGGCGCGCACGCTGCTCGGGCACATCGCAACGTGAGTCCAATGAAAAGGGTCACTGTGAAAAGCTGGGCGGTGAGGAGGACTCACCGGGGCCCACGTCCACGGGGAAGGGGCTCCTGGGGATCCCCGCCCCCCCGAAGGTGACGGCGACTGTGTGCGGGCCGGCCTGGCTGGGCCGGTAGGTGCAGCGGTAGGTGCTGTCGCCCTTATCCTCCATCATGGCCTCCACGGCGTTCTGGCGGCCCTGAGGGTCTCTGATCACGGCCGTCACGTCTCCCGTCCCGGCTCCTACGGAGGAACCATCAGCGGGTCAGTCTGCACCTTCTCCGGCTGCTTATGGAACACACGTCTACAGCAGCCGACGCACAGAACCATCTAGGGGAGGGGGTGTCATTTATGCTTCTCTGGGCGAAAAGATTAATAAAAAGAAATGCGACTATTTGGACCAAATGAACATCATTCTGTGTCGAACTCACTGGTGGAACAAATCAAGAGAAGCGACTGCGGGAGAATCATCTGCTTCTCTTCGGGAGGGTTAGAGGGTGTGACCGCTTGAAATGCAGTCATTACATCACACTCACTGATCCCACTAACGGGCCCCTGGCCGCGTCTCACCATAACGCCGATGGAGGCTTGATACCGGCTTGGTCTCTACGGGTCGGGTGGAGAAACTGGCTCAGGACACGTCGGCTTGAGAGGACTCAAGGTCCCGAAATAGAAAGAAACGGGACTCCTGCTAACGACGAACCGTCGTCTCACAAGATGCCTCTTGTGTGCGCTAACCAGAAAACAACGGGCGTGGTGGGGGCTGCAGGGAGGGGGGGAGGGGGGGGGTCTGTGACATCACATCCTGCCCGAGCAGACGCCTTCTTTTCACCGAGAAGTTTCTGACCTGCGGTGTAGATGTCAAAGTAGGTGGGGTTGTTGGCGACGACGCCCACGGGTTCGATTCCCGGGCCTTTGACCATGACCTTGGAGGCGTCGCCCAACGCCTTGTCCACGGTCACCTCGAAAGGACTTTTGGGAATCTGCTGGCCTGCAAACATCACCGTCACCTGGGAAACGGAACCAAGAGTTACCCCGGAACGCATCGTCTGGCCCCTCCCACCAGTAGCACGACCACCAGAGAAACCTTGAGCTCACCTGGTGGAGTCCCACCACTTTGGGAACGTAGGAGACGCTGAACGTCTTTTTGCCCTCGTTAGGCTCCGCCTTCAGCTGACGGACACACACACACACAGCATGTGTGAGGTTTACACACAACACTAAAGCAGGTCAGTCTTTAAACTGGGCGGATGGGGGGTGTTCACCTCCTCTCTGGTGCCGTCTGGGTGATCCAGGTAGATGGTCACCTGACCCTGACCCGCGCTGAACGTGTCCACTGTGAAGACAGCGGGACGCAGCACCCGGTTCCCCGTCGGTTCGATGCCTGCAGATGAAGAAAATGAACCGAAGGGTCAAACAAAGTGACGACGGGCATCGTGTTCAAAGAAAAATCAATCAAGTGTGGAAAGTTCTGACCGAAATAAGAGGAATAATAAACGCGCTCAATGCGGCGTGTACCTGGTCCGTATGCGCGGGCCTTCTTTGGGTTGAGTTTGGGTTTGAGTGGAGCTCCTGGCTTCAGTTTGGCTTTGGGGAACTGGGACAGATAGGTCATGACCGACTGCTCGTCCGCACTGGGGTCGATGATCTCCTCCGGCGCCATCACCTGCGCACACGATTGTCAATAAATCAGCCGCCATGTTTAATAACATGAGCGGGTCTCCTTTGGAAACCCGGCAGGTTTTTGAACCTGGTTCCAGGGATTTGCTCCCATTGAGCCACATGAGCACCAGGTCGGCACTCCAGTTCCTCCCAGACGGATCCGTGCTGACTCGTCAAGTTCTTCCCCACCTAACTGGAGGAGCCGTTTGTGCCCGGCTCGGCTTTCTGTTCGCTCTGTATACTGAAAACAGGAAACGGTCGGGAGCGAGTTAAAACGCCATTGTCTAAAAATGGGCCTGAGAGCCGTCTCAGTGAGATTTCCATTCATTGGGACAAAGGAGGGCGGTACGAGGACGGGGACGTCCTGGACTCTGAGTCACCGACGGTCAGCGATCGTTTCTCTTCCGCTCACGTCGCCGCTTCGCCCCCCGCTGAAGACGTTCCGCCTCACGCAAACCTCAACGCGCTAGCGTTCCTCCCAAAATCAACATCATGGGTGTGACGGCGAAGCTGGTCAGCGGTCTCGTTTCTGGAGGAGACTTCCTGTGGGCGGCGCCCCCAGACTAACAGGAAGCCGAGCATAACGTTAACGGAGCCGCGGCACAGAACCATCAGACTGAGGCTCACGTGGAATCCGTGAGTTTCACCCTCTCGGCTTCAAACAAATGTGAAAAAAAAAATGATTCGGTGAGTTTCCTCTGCAGGAAACCAACCAGCATCTGTTGCCTGATGCTGCCTACGACCTCTGACCTCTGGAGTAAAAACCCCTTCTATTTGGCTGCAGGAGTAAGAGAAGGCGGGACTTCTTTGGGCTGTTTGGATGCTGATGCAGGATGTAAAACAAGCATCCAGTCGAATATCGCACACCTTAGCAGTAAAACAAACACGCCCTAAGAGACACCCCCCGACCTTTGAACCTTAACTACGCTAATGAATAACCCCACAGTCACAATGTCACACTAAAGATGCATCGCAGGGGGTCTAACCTGCGGGATGCCCAGCCAGTCGTCAGCCAGCTGCATGGCCTCCGTGGCGTTCTGCACCGGTTTCACCGGATCCCAGGTCTCCCAGTCGGGACACAGGCCTGCAAATGGCACACGGTTACAGAAGGAACACCAGGAGTCAACTTTGGACCTAAATGCAGTCAGCTGTACAGCATTAGAACACACACACACACACACACACCTGGTGCACAGCTGTCTACCAGTGCTCCCAGTGCCCGGCCGTTCCTCCAGTCCTGGCTGAAGTTGTTGATCGGCACATCGGGGAGTTTGTGTTGGATCCAGCCCAGCAGACGCTGCTTCGGTGTCTTCGACTCCGGCTGCAGGAACCAGAACCAGCAAAAAAGGTCAATGACCTCACCAGCTTGTTTCACGGTTTGATGGCGGAGGAGAGGTGAAGGAAGCCTGGACCGTTACCTTTTCATCCTCGCCCTCCCAGATGGGCATGGAGATGGAGTAGTGCAGAATCAGAGTCCAGACCAGACCCAGGATCAGCTTCAGGTTCCCATCCACGATGGCTTTGGAGTCTGACGGAGAGAAACAGACCTGAGGTCAGATTAAGGTCTTCAGGAGAACTTCCACTGCTCATCACCGTCAACACAAATCTACACAGACTCACAACTACAAACACGACATGAAGTTTCCATAAAGCCTCAATAAGTCCATATTGAAACTAGAAGGATGATAAAAGGCGCCTCTTTGGCTCACTTCATCTGGTCGGTTTCTAGTGTGATTTGCACTCGTTTGTTTTTAGGTCCTTTGACCCCATGGTCAGCGATAGTAACGCGAGGAGGGAGTCGGTTGAGCGAAACACCGGACCCCTCACTGCTCCCCGGGCAGAAATGTAAAATGCCAAATGGTTAAATATGCAACGCAAGTCGCTTTGGATAAAAAGAGCTAAATGACCTGTAATTTGCTGCAGACAAACAGTTCACAAAACCGTCGGGTCACCGTGACCTCAGGAGGTGCACTTCAGACGGGGATTTAAGAGAACCAGAGTGCTACAGGGTTACGTTACTCATTAATCAGACCTCAGTGTAACACACACACGTCATTTTTAATCTCAGACTACATTTCTCTGTCCTATAATAAAGTTCTCATTAAAGAGACACATCAACATGCGTGTTGTTCAAACATGACTTTAGTGAGGTGGAGGCCTCGTCTGAGTCGTTACATCACATGTCCAGGGCGCGGCTACTTTTAGCAACATGTGGCAATCAAAAGTTTTTTTGTTTTTTTTTTAAAGTTGTGGGTCACTGCAACGTGAATCTGCAGTAAAAAAACCTCCGGCTGATGATCCGTTGGCATACAAGGACCCGCCAGCTGACACTGTGTGCGCACGTGTGTGTGTGTGTGTGTGTGTGTGTGTGTGAGATAAACCCTGTGATCCACCTGGTGAATCGGCGTCACCGTCAGCAGACCAGCTGTGGTCCTAAACATGTTGCTGCAACGTCGGATTTAGGTGGAGCTCCTGGAGAGTGCTGCCTCACCCATGGGTGACACAACACTGGTAATGACAGAGTGCGCACACACACACACACACACACACACACGATGTTGCCACATCCTGCTCTCCACATTCCTAATCTCTGTTTTTCCAGACACTCATTTATCCTTTTGTATTTCAGGCTTTTCCCTTTGTCTATTCAAACGTTGTCAGGTCTCCTTTCACACACACACACACACACACACACACACACACACTATGTAACTTCCTTTTCTTTTCCCCTCCACGGGTGAGCTGCCACACCGGTGTGTGTGTGTCACCGGCAGCCGCCTCTCCAGCAAACATCCTGTCATTGAAGGTAAAGGCCGCTGCTCAAACCACACACACGGACACACACGGACACACACACACACACACACACACACACACGGACACACACCTGAGCTCGCTCACACGGTGTGACTGATCAATGTAAAGCTAACAAACCCTAAAGTTCTGACGTGTTTAGTTAATACACAATAAAAAGATAACGGTATCTTTGAATTGGTTCTTCTGCTCGTGGACCATTAGAACCATTCGTGTGTGACTCATCGTCCTGGAGGCTTCAGCCAAGTCCAACAATCAAGTTTCTTCTTTAAATGAAATCAAACATAAGGGCCGGAAGACGTAATTAACTGAAACCATCGGAGTTCCTCAGCTGACCCTTGATCCGTCGCACACAGAACGAAAGCTTATTAAAAGACAATAAAAACATTTAGGTGGTTTATGACAGGTCACATTTATTGGCTATTGAGCAATATTTCTATGGAGGCGAGTTGTAACATTTTAAATGTTAATCATCTTTAAAATGTGTTTATGCGAGAGACCTAATTCCATTCATAATCCAGACTGGGCACTAAACTGTGTGTGTGTGTGTGTGGACAGTTCAGTGAGTAACGAGGCGGTTGCCATGGCAGCCTATTGTTCACATAAAGGACGAGTGTGAGAGAAGTTCTCTGGGGTTTTTGTCGTTTTGCTCTTCCATCAGTGTGTACGGAAGGTTAAGAGCTCGAATAACAATCTGCCGTTTAGAGCCGGACCTCAGCTTCATCATCGAGCCCCTCGTCCTCCCTAACCAAGGTCCCAAATAGGACTGTCTTTAAGACGGAACGCAGTCTGGACACTTCAAATTAAATCAGTTCCGGCCAAAGAGATTCTTTCTTCCCCTCGTACGGTCTTCTCTCCTCTCAAGGAGACTAATGAAGCCACCTCCGGCGTCAGCGTCACATGCTGCGACCACTAGACGCCTCAGACATTAGCTTTGTTACAACTCTTCTGCCCATAGAAGAGTAAAACAGCGCAGTCAGCAGCGCTTTCATTCTGTGATTTGTGTCCACAAAACAATAAGAAGCTTCCCGTCATAACCTCGGGCTGGATCTGTGTCAGATAAACAGTGTTTAAAGCCAACTACCGTTGCAGATACCTGCGGATTTGTTGACCCGTTGCCACGGAGACGCAACAACACAGAGGCAACAAGGACAACCAATGGGAGCAGTGGGGGCAGGGAGGGGTCGGCGTCGCCTTGGGAGAGAGAAAGAATGTGTGCAAGGAGAAGGGGAGAGTGGACGAGAGAGATAAAGTCAGTGTGTGGGTGTGTGTGTGTGTTAAGGTGAATTGGGTTGAACAAATACCTCGGTTACCAGCACGGCACGCCCTCCCTTTGGTGCAGGAAGTTACACAATGAGCCGAGAAAATACAGAAATTCCTCCCAAACCAGCTCCCCCCAAACCAACTCCCCCCCCCACGCCCCCAAACCAGCTCCCCCCCCACGCCCCCAAACCAGCTGAAGACCAGGAGGAACAATCGGGTCACGAGGGAAAACAATACGAGGCCCAGTTCAAGTCCTCGTTGTTTTAAAGGCTTGTGAGGCCCATTTAAGTCCAACCTGGTGACCCAAACAACTCAGAGGCGTAAGCGTGGGACGAACGTCAGGCAGCAGTGAAACGCGCCGCTGCACCGGATTTAAACCGTTACACATCAGACTCGACCGGGAGGCTTCTGTTCACAACCTTCAGGTTGATCCTTAGTGCACACGAACCCAAACAAACCCAAAGGACTTCATCAAATCCAACACTCACTCAGCAGAGTCGGGTCCCTGCTGAGGAAGTCGTCCGTGTCCATTATAATGCTCTTTGAGGTCAATTTGAGACATTTTATTCTACTATCAATATTTCATACAAAACTAGCATGAGAGGGAATTATGAACTATTCAATTTAAAACACCAGCTGTAATTGCACCTAAATTACACAACGGAGCGTCATTAAGTAGCAATTAGGGAATTATTGAGGGGAAAACGATGGACGTTGAGGGGAAAGTGAACTTTGGATGGAAACAAAGGACAGGAGGTACCTGCAGTGGTGAACAGGGTGTGGAGCTATAGTGTGTGTGTGTGTGTGTGTGTGTGTGTGTGTCTTCGGTCTAACCAACTGTGTACAAACACACATTCCTCAAAATTGAGATCATAACCCCGCCCACCGACCAATTCCCCCCACAAACACATTCCAACACCAACCTCCCCTCCGAGGACCCGGCGGATGGTGACAAGAGAACAAAAGTGTAACACACTCGTAGCCTTTTCAAACTGCCGTCAGGTCAGTTAACACACACACACACCTCTTCTGTGCTGCGAGACAAAGCACACGCTAACAATCCAATAGAAACCATCAATATCGTTTTATCAGCGCAGGTTCAGCTGTGTCCTCATCTGAAATCTTTATTTTTCAACATACTGGCGGGTGGTTTAATTTATTGTAAAACTACATTGTATTTAATATACTTATGAAATGACAGTATAGTAAAAAGCACAATATTTCAGCTGAAGCTTTTATCAAAATGTAGTTCAGTACTCCAGTAAATGTACTCGTTTCTTTCCATCACTGACTGACACCGTCTCCCCAAACAAAAGCCGCTGCCAAATCATGTGACCAACCGGCGGCGAGTTGGGGGGGGATTCATTTTCACGTCATTTATCAAAAGTTCACCACCCTCGCACGGGGGCGGAGGCCAGCGTCCTGCAGGCGTGTGACCGTGTGTTTCTAATCATTTAAGTGAAGTCCGCCGCACGACGCGACCGTTATCACATGATCGATCGCTCAAAAAGAAACACACACTTTCACGGTGGAACATTTGAACCGTTACCAGACGAGTCAGCGGTCTTCCCCCATCGCATCATGTCGGCACTCCCACGGATGACATCAGCGCATGATGCATCGCTGTAATAACGGTACAGCTTAAGAGTGACTCTGGAGGGGGGGGGGGGGGGGGTCCAGCAAAAAAAATAAATTAGAGGCCTGAAGAAAGAGGCTTTTAACATTAGATGGTTTCCTTTCTCCCTCTCTATTCTGGTCATTGGTTGGACCCAAACAGCTGCAGATCAAAGACCAGGTGAAAACGTGCGCCGCTCGCCCAAGAGGAATCAGAAGTGAAAGACGGAACCGGGGGAGCGCTCGCGGTGAATCCGTGCAGTCTGAACCGGCATGCAGGGTCCGCCAGGGGAGAACTGGCACAGGCTCAGCAGACTGATGCGTTTCAGAGGGCGGACACGCCAGAGAAAACAGACATCCACGACCAAATGTCAACTCCTAGCTCATATTCATGGCCTCCTTTATACAGGCAGTTAATAAACAAGACTAGTGTTACATTCACTAATGGTTTGCTGATTAGCATTTTAATCGTTTGTGTTGGCTGGCATGGAGGTTTTGCATTCAAGCCACTAATCCCGGCGGTTAACGAGAGTCAAAGGATTCTAATTATGCATCCGGTGCTCAGGTGGTTCCTTGTTTTCTATCGACTGGTCTGACTGGAAATCCGGCGTGTGCCACAACGGTCAATTGTGAAACAACAGAGGACCTTTAATTGAGCCCTGCGGCACTCCGCCGGTTCAATCGGTCAGGTGCAGCAGATTGCGTCATGGTCGAGGATCTGAACAATAACGGGGCGGTTTGATCGACCAGGTGATAAAATAATCAAACCAGTTTGATGTAGAAATGGAAGGCAGAAGTAACTCACAAGAGAACCCAAAAAAAAACCCACAAGAGAACATGGTAACCAGCCCAGTTGTGCCCTATCATTAACATACACACACACACACATCTGGCATTGCGTCTGCATGCATAAACAGGACACACACGCACTCACTGGCAAACAGGCTGCAGCGTTTAGCCGTGTGTGACCTCACCCTGCCGGTTCCCAGGCTGTGATGTCATCACAACCAGAAACATGGCCATGTGGTGAGGAAGAGGAGATCAGCGGATGAGGATAATGACCGAGGAGATGATAGCAAGATGGGAAACGAGACGCGTAGACAAAAACAAAAACGTTCGACAACGGGGGATGAAAACTTTATTTGGGCGAGTTGACTCTCCCGCGTAGAGGAGCGTTGGCGTGTACGTTAGGTCGCGTCGGACTGTGGCAGGCCTTAAACTGGAGGACCAATGGTAAACACTGGATGGGCCATGAAACAAGAGCCGTGCACGTTGTGTGATGATGCGTTTTAGTTACATTGGGTTTCAGCGTCACAACGCCGATGCGGCAGTTTGAGCGTATAGATTTTAAACTTTAGAGGCTTGAACTTTTGTCTCCGACATCGATTCATCATCAACCAGATATTTAGTAAACAGTGACGATCAGAAACATTTGAGTCATGTCTGTTGCAGACAGTGGGGTGTGTGTGTGTGTGTGTGTGTGTGTGTGTGTGTGTGTGTGTGTGTGTGTGTGTGTGTGTGAGTGAGATCAAACACGGTTCAGCACCACAACACAAAGACACCATGACAACAACAAATCCGCCTCACAAAAGGCGTGTGCGTCTGCAGCGAGACAACAGGACGAGGACACAAAGACGGGTCTGTGTGAGTGTCCTCTATGTTTTAAATAAATCACCATTCACCTCCGTTGTATCTGGTTGGCAGATCGAACCAAAACTACCACGACAATTCAATGTCATTTATGGTCAGATGGCACCATGATTTAAAAAACACACACATTCTGAAACTAACACAAATGTGTGGTTGCCTCCAAGAGGTCATGATCAATCCCGAGGGTTGAGATTTGATCAACGAAGAAAACGTTCAATTCCCGTGGTGGCGGCGACAGAAATACATCCGGCGGCTAGTTAGCTTAGCACAAAGACTGGAAACAGGGGGACACAGCTAGCCTAGGCGTGTCCAAAGAAACAAACCACCTATTACGCTAAAAGCTCGTCACACATTTACGTATAAAAATCCAAAACTGCCATTTTGTGTACGTGGTGGACTAACCAGCAAATATCAATTACAAACATAGATTCCTTGTTTTAAACTTTTAAACAAATAGCACATCAACATGTGTGATGCAGAGCTGCTGGTCGTTGTATTTTTGTGGGTTTAGACGGAGCCACACTAGCCGTTCCCTGTGCTAAGCTAGTTAAGATAAATCCAAACTATCTGACCAGCGGCAGCAGACGAGCCGCTTGTCCCGAGCAAAACAAATGGCAAAGTGAATTCCAGTGTTTTGTTCCTTCGAAGCTGCTGCACGTCGACCTGGAAGCAACAAAGAAGCTTTCTCTGCAGAGAGTGTGTGTGTGTGTGTGTGTGTCCCAGCCGCTCTCATGTTACCTTTTTCTTCAGCAACACACAGGCTCAGTGTGCGTCCGTCGCTCACAGGCACACAAGCGCCTCTCAGCATCGCCGCAGATAAACAACACAACTCGTTTTTCTGAGTGTGCACGTTAAACATTCACGGTCAACATCAGACAAACATCTGGAGCGCTGAGCGGTTCGGGGCTTTGTTGTGGTTGTAAGAAGCTTCATGTTTTCGGGGTGAAACAAACTCTTGAATGGAAATGTTTCACATTGAACTTGTCGATCACAGACGTGTGACGCGCATTAAATCAACACGTGCAATTCAACAGAAAAGCTTTAAAGAGCATTAAAACAAAAAGAAATACACACGCGAGTAAAAAAAAAGAAAAAAAACCTCAGTTACACAGAAATGTCAACAGAAACCGTTGACGAACACGACGCGCTGGACTGAAACTACTCGTCCATCAGCCGCCGCGCCACATGCCCAAGACTTGTTCTTGCACGGCAGCGCCGCGACACCAGAGGCCGAGAGCCGTTTGTTAATATGTGACAGATTATCACATTGAGAATATAAAACATGGATATCACGGTCCAGCTTTCAATCATTCATTTAGTTATCAAATGCAGGAGCGCTGCTGTGCTGACTGAAGCAGATTGGGTTTGAAGCACATGGCCAGAAGCCTGCGCCGCTAGCTGCTAGCCGCTAGCCGCCCAGCAGTCGCTTAGTGCTAAATGGTAGCATGCTACGTTTGTGTAATGTGCTCCGAATGAAGCCGTGAGTGAAGTTGGTCGCCGTCGTGTGGATCACTGCCGCATGCTGAAAACGTGACGCCATGTTTATACAAGACGGGGAAACGCGAGTGGCTTCACACGGCGAAGCTAATGTCGCTCTTCAAAAGCGCAGCCTGAAGGCACTGCAGGGTAACCGCGCACGCACGTGCATGCATGCATGCGCGCTACGGGAAGCTACAGATCCCGTTGGGGCGGTTCTCAGAACTTCAGACCTGGTTCCGCTTCTCTCACACACACACACACACACACACACGCGCAGACAACAGGTAAGAAGAAAAAAGAAGTTTCACGAAGTTTTAAATGGGATCTAAAAGCAGCTGTAAAGGAATGCGTGACATTGGGTTCCTGGTGCGAGAGGCCTGTGCCGGTTTTATTGGGCTGCGTTAAGCATCACGGCCCAATAAAGGTGATGTTCTTAGTTTGTGGTATTTCCGATCGTTGTTGGTGCAGGTTTTTCTGCTTAAAAACACTAATCTGAATCGCTTTAGTTTTCCAGCACATTTGCGGCGTCTTTCTATCACAGCCGTTGCGTTTTTATTCATTTCTTAGGTTGAATCCGTGTAACTGGATGGAAGTTTGCAAAAGCACGACTGAATTTTAAATACAGCAATGGTTTATTCTTAACTAACACCCAACTTAACAAATTTCACTGACAACACATTTACAGCTCAAAATATGCAAAACATCCAAACGAAGGTATATGATTGAATAGTGTCATCAGAATAACAACCTCTGCTTTGTCCGCCAACGCACTTTTTAAACTGTTCTATAATTAAAGGCTTTAGTAAAACCTGTAATAAGTTATGAATGAATACAGTTTAAGGCATTTAAAGGTTGCACCGAGCTCCCTTCTCATAACCAATATATGACGAATAGATTCATCTCCGTGTTCTGATCTCACACAAGTCCTGGCGAGACACACCTGTCTGCACAAGGACGGCCACACCCTTTACACACACACACACACACACACACACACACACACACAGGTAATCAGTTAATTGATTAATCACTTCTACTGAAGGTAGAAGAGTTAACAGGAAATCAGAAACCGATTAAACCAAAACGTTTATGACCGAAATCATGAACCAAGTCGGTTGCCAGTCAGAAAAAAAATAAAAATCTCTCCTGATAAGCCAAGTATGAGGAAATAAAGCCTCTGGTAACGGAACACAGGAGTCAAACGTTCTTTCATTCCTCGTGCACGCGCGCGTTAACACTTAGAATGAACTCCAGGTGAAAACTGACAGTCAAACTATTTAAAACAAGCAACGAATATCAGGTGTTCCATAAAAGCGGATCTGCTCAAAGCCTCAAGCAGCGGGGAGTCTTGTGGGAAATGCTGGTGTTCATGAAGCTCATGATGTTTGTCAGCGACGAGCTGCAGACTTGAAGCAGAAGAGCAGCAGGTGAAGGAATCATGAACGCACGTGCGTCCTCTGCTCATCGGGGCCGCGCGCCAGACTCCGTGCAGGAAAAGACGGATTTAATGGAGTTTTACGGGCAGGCCGATCGATAATAGGAGTATTCAAACAAATATATGTGACACGGTTATTGTGTCACAGGGGGGTAAGGCGATATTAGACTGAAGCATTCTTAAAGGCAGTTTGGCCAATGGACGGAAAAGAGCAGGACCAAGATGGTAATATAGTCCATTAATTAAGAAATAGAGTACAAAGGTGGGGAACGCTGCAGATTGAACTTTGGTCGCTATAAAATCACAAGCAGGGGGATCAAATGTCCTCGTCAACCACTAACGTGACGTCCATCGGGATCGGGACACGCTTAGAAAAAGGAAAAACTTTAAATAAAAGTGCTTTTATTTCCTCCGGAGCGGCCGAGCCGTCCGTCAGCCAGAACGCAGCCAGGTGGGCGACCACCGACCGCCAAACACCGACCACCAAACATGTTCCAAGTAGTACACGTGTGCCGAATTAAAGGGCGAGTCCAGTTGATTGTAGAAATGTGATATGCGGTAGTTTCATGTGGATTTAATCACGTGAAAAGCGCGTTAACACTTTAAAACGCCGCATTATTATTGGAAGTCCGTGCTTTCCACGAGACAATTGGGAGTCGGGACCAAGAACTTGGAAAACTTGAAGTATACTGGTACAAATACTTCTAACGTGTACGTTTCTGATGCGCATAGACCACGAAGGTATAAAAAGAGCAGATTTAGGCTTAAGTGGTGCGTTTTGTATTGTGTTAAATGAACGGGCGGCCGCCACTCACCGATGGAGACCAGCTTGATGTTCTCCATGTCCAGGAACTCCAGGGCCACCGACACGTTCTCCAGCTTCATCTGCCTGAAGTTGGGCCTCGGGTGGTACTTTCTGAACATCTTCTTGTGGCTGAGGACCTCCAGCAGGGCGATGAGCCTCAGCCCGTCGCCCAGGTCCAGCTGCAGGTCCGCGATCCGCTTGTTGACGCACTTCAGGTGCTCGTTGATCCAGCGCGTAAAGGTGTTCTGCTGGATCTTCTTCCACGGCGCGTCCTCGGCGAGGTCCTTCTCTGTCACGGGCATCTTACTTTTTTTCGGGTTGTCCCTTTCCTGTCAGAACTATGCGGTGCGGGTGCTGTCGGCAGTGCGGGGGGGGAGGCAGCGCGCGTCGTGCTTCCTCGCAGGAGCCTGAAGTTGGTTTGAGGAGTTTTTTTCAAAACCTCCCTGAGACACAACTGGCTGCGTTCAGGTGCTGCTCTCAAAGCTCGGGTTTCCTCCTCTTCTTCTGCTTCTTGGAGTCTTTACGGGCAGTTGGGACGCCTGTTGTTGAGTACCGCCCCCATTTAAAGTTGAGGTACTTAGCGTATTTTCTACTCCCGCTATTCTAGATCTATTTTAGATCTACAAATGAGTGGCAAATATTAACTTTATTTTTAAAACTGTATGAATCAACTAATTTACTTTTACACGTGAGATTGTTTAGTAAAAATAATGTAAAGATATAATCTTGATTCAAATATAAATATATAGATATATATACATACACACATTTTGTTCTCTAGTGTTTTAGGAATTTGAATTTATATATATATATATTATTAATATAATAGAATATATATATATATATATATATATATATATATATATATATATATATATATATATATAAACAGGATACCGTTTCAACTGAAATAAAATACTGTTTTTTCTTTTTAGATAATTGTTTGAGTGTCTCTTTTTCCTTGTTTTTTCATGATGATAGTTAGCTATACATTTAGATAAATTTGCTATTTTTATATTGATATCTTTAGTAGTTAATTTTCCTTCAGCAAAGACAAACAGACAATTGTATTTTCATCAATTTATCAATTATCAATCATTGGACAGTTTCTACGTCTTTTAAACTCAAAATTTCTACTCAGATCCCCCAACCAATCTTATAATGTTCATATTTCCGGTGGCCGTGAATGCAGCATCGGTTTGGGTTGAAGCCGACCTCGCAGAGATCGTCTGTGTTGAGCTGATTACCAAAACCACGCTTCACTATTGATTCCCAATAAGTGCCATCGGAATGCGGGTTATCGACAGGCTCCGTGAACTCTGAGATCAACGTGCTTGTGAAGCAACTTTTTTGAAAGAGGTCATATGATAAAGGCTGTAAAGGGAACAGGAATAACACCCTAATATTAAATTAAATGGTGATTAATATCGCCTAACACACCACATAACCAATATATCCAATGTATTTAATTAGGTTTTTTTCTGTCTCTCGTTCTTATATTAATTTACTAAACACAACGCGCGGTTCTCATCACAAAATAACAAAGAGGAGCAAAAATACAATATTTTCTGTTGTTTGTGTTCCTGCAAAAAGAGTCAGAGTGAGGCTTCTTCTCATTATGACACCTCGACCCTTGATTTAAACTCAGGGTTCAGAATGTTCTGTTTCATTTTCAATAAATACTAATCAATGAACACTTTCATGTTCAGACTTCGACAGCGAACAAACCGAGATTGAGCTTCGCTTGCAGTTTTCAATCTGCTGTTCAGACAGAACGACCGAGCCTTCCAGGACGAGCCTCAACACGCACACGCACACACACACACACACACACACACACGCACACGCACACACACACACACACACCCTGTGTGTTTGAGCAACCCCACGTTTCTCTCAACACTCCTGTGATGAATCAATAAAAGCTGCTGCAGGTAGAATCCGTGACGTCTGTTTGAACATTTCAGACTGAAGTGTCTTCTGTTTTTTGAGTTTTTTTCCATGAATCATCGTCTGATGTTTGCTGATGTTTGTGACTCAGCTGTCTGCATCACTTCCTTGAGAAACTGCAGATTAAAAGACGCTTATCATTATTCCTTTGACCGGTTTTAGGTTTTACTTCTGTTTCACGGCTCTTTTGTTCTAAAATTAAAATGATCCATATTTCAAATATATTTTAACCTGTTTTTGTTGCCACATTTTCAAGTTACGCAAATTACTTTCCAGGTGAACATCCAACAAAATCTGATCAAACAAATAAGACTTTAAGACTAGTTTTAAAACAACAAACAAGCCTGACAACGTTTCTAAAGTATATAACTGTATATTTGCTGCAGTTGATTCCGTGTGGCGACCTTTGTCCCGTTGAGATGACATCATGCTCCAGCTGCGTGATTGTTGTGTGAACACACATTCAGCCGATGTCAGACGACACACACACACACACACACACACCGTGGCCTGTGTTGTGTTCACTGAACTCACCGTATGACACCACACCGTGAGTACATTTATTACTGCTGTAGTGTATTTTTAAGGCTATTTTATTTTGTGTACTTTATACTTCTACTCTAAATGTCGTCACTTTTATTTCATCCCGACAGGCCAGTGTGTGAAGTTGTTTTGTGATGTCACTGTGACCTTTGACCTCGGCTCATCCTCGAGTCCAGGTGCCGAATTTAAAGGAATTCCCCTCGAGCCGTTCAGGTCATTGAACAGCGTTCTTCCATTTCAAATAAGGTCGTCTTCAACTCCGTGTACTTTCAACAATATACATATATATGTATATATAAATATATGTATATATAAATATATATATATGTATATATAATAGTTCACATTAGCTCCTGTTTATCTTTATATATTTGCCCCCCCAATGAAGTACTAAGTACTTGTTCATATGTGCATGAATTTAAACTGAATGCCGTAAATCTTTAGTCGAAATGTGGCACCAATCAAAATAATAACTAACGCATTTCTAGTTCTGTTTTACCTGCTGGTCGACTTCTCACCATTGTTAAGTTGTGTAAAAACAAATGAATGAATAAAACCCGCCTGAGGACGACGACCGGCTGATTTTAAATTCATTTATTATCTGAGGTTTGCGGATGAATGAAGGCGACAGAAGGCGTTTTGGTGGGTCAGCTTGCTACAACTTTAATCCAAACATCACTCTGCATATCCAACACTTCATCTTCATCATCCTCACCTCTACGTAGCTCCCTCTCATACCTCCGAACAATTTTAACAAAATAAGTCTAGTAGCACATCATTCAATGACATTTTATTTTACAGTTCTCTTTGTAGTGTTTTTTCATTCTCTTTAAACATCAGGAATATTTGTTCGTTGTATTTTTATTTACTTATGTATCTTTAAACACAGAGACGAGACAAGAGTACACGAACAATGACAGACGGTCCAGAGTGTGCACCGACACACACACACACACACACACACACACGAAGTGTTCATAGATCTTCTGGAGAGAAGCTGATTCCTACTTCAACCTCACTCTTTCACAATAAAAGAGCTGCAAAGAGAAGTCACAAAAAGTCTTCAGGCCAAACGGAGCGATGGAGCCGCCCGTCATCTCGCCTTAAAATGACCCGATAGTAGACGTGAGCGTTAGTGGCGATAATTTGACATAATAATCTCAAATAAAAGGTCCACTTGCTGGTCCTGAGCTTCTGACCTCCTTCAGCGGAGGACACGAGTAGAAAGATTAAAGATCCTGGTAAAACACTGAGGATCACCAACAGCTTCTCTCCACACTGAGGGACCTCCAGGAGGCCATTAGAACAAGTGTGTGTGTGTGTGTGTGGGGGCGCACACGCGTACACACACTGTGGTGTTTGTTAGTTACATCAGAGGCACTTTGAGCCTCTTTTCTGTGCCCTAAAAAGAGAAAAAAAAATATCAAAGAAATAAAACAGAAAATAAATCAGATATTCATTTTGAATAATTTGGCTTCAAGTGTTGACACCCCCCACACGCCCCCCCCCCTCCTGAAAAACAATCAAACAGAAGAGCTCCGCTTAGCCGAACAGGAACCTTCTCCAGCAGACTGACGGGTTCACTTTTTAGTCAGAACATCCACTGGAATATAAAACGTGCAGCCGTCTCAGCTCTGACGGAGCTTCACTTCAAACTAATTTAATCTGCCTTTTTTTGTTGTTGTAATTTTGTAATAGAAAGCTTCAGCGAACTAAAACCAAAAAGTGATTAAAGGCGACGATGCTTATTGAATAACGGTAGAGTCGAGGCTGGAGACCGACGTGCACGTGCGTGCAGGCCGTGCACCATGTGACCGGGCGCGGCTGCTGGAGAAGTGTTGCGTTCACTGGCGGTGGGAATAAAGACGCGTAGGTGGCCTCTGGCGGGTGCTTTGTGTGGAAGCTCGGCCTGCAGGAGGACGCTTCGTTTACCCACAACATCAGCAGGGAGACGAAAAAAAAAACTAAAATAAAATAAAAGCCCCCACCCCAGCTGAGCGAGCAGAGAATAAAAAAAACAACAACTAAACTCCGGCTCACAGAAAGAAAACAACAACAGAAGAAACCAAGAAGCTTCTGAATCCTCTGTAGAAACCACAACCTTTATATTCCCTCTACAATTATGTACAATTAGACTTTATACAAGTAAAGCAGTGATGCTCTCGCCACAGCGCGCTCCGAGTGCACGTGTGCGTGGGGGGGGGGGCTGTGTGGGTCCTAGGTGGAGCTGCTCTTGGAGAGGTTTGGGTAGAGGACGGCTGCCGTCACGGCGACCATCACTGCGATGACCGGCATCCAGGGGCTCCAACCGCTCTGCAGAGACACAGAGAGAGACGGAGACAGAGAGACGACAACAAATGGAACCACGTTAGTCGGCAGCATCTCGTCTGACGTTCTGACACAAACTGGATGAACAAGATTGAATCCAGGAGACAGAAGAGAAGAAAAAGAGGAAGAAAAGAAAGTCAAGAAAAAGATGATGAAAGAAAAGTCGAGACGCTGAAGCCTCAGATGATATTTCTTTCTTTCACTAATGTGAAAAAGTTCTTTTTGCTGATTAAAGTAAAACAACAGTCTTTAAACAGAGACAGACAAAAATATTAATTTAAGCGCAAAATGGGATTTTTATTTCTTTCGCCATCAGTCGTTAATAAAAAGGTCTAAAAATCTGTCGGCCACAAAAGATTTCTGCCGAGTCGACTTTTAGACCAGTTCTCTTTTAAAGTGGTTACATGCAGAGCTGCAGTTTATAGTAAACGATGTCTTTATAATAATACTAATAATAATGTAAACAACTGGTGCACAAACAATAACCACTAACATTGAATCATAGAAAAAATATCATCTTTTGGGGCTTCAGGGAAGAAGGAAAAGAAAAAAAGGAAGCAGCAAAGTAACGGAGGCCGAGCAGATTACCTGAGTAGAGAAAATAAAAACACTGAGAAGTTACAGACCAGTTTCCCTTCACAGCAAACGACTGGAAACACTGGAAAGAACCCAAAATTACAACAAGCAGCAAACACGACACGAAGAAGGTTGGAAACAAGATGAAGAAACTGTCCAGAGAAAGACTTGAGGGTGAGAAGATGGATGAGTGAACGGATCGCACCTGGAGCAGGTAAACAACGGTTCACAATGACAACTGAGATTCAGCAGAACGGATGAAGAAAGGAACAATGATCCACGGAGCCGCTGGCAGCAGATGGAGTAACATGATGCATCGAATCAAATGTTTTGCAAAAAGCAGCGCTCCCCTAAAAAGTGAGAAGCAGCTGTAGAGACGAATGAATGAATGAGAACGATATGCAAAGAGACGAAGGGACATGAAGGGGACAACTCGGCTCTCTAAAGGGCGACACAGTTAGCTTCGTGCTAAAAGCTCACTTTGGCTTATTAACTCGAGTTTAGACTTTGAGACTTTTGCTTTGAAAATAATAAAAATGTCAACGACTGCTTTATTTGAGTTATTTTGAGGTAAAATCTTATTCTAATTGGAAGATTTATTTTATTTAACAGCAGGATTCGGCAGTGTGTCGTCGAGAATGACTTTACGGCAACTGTGAGCGGCGTCGCTACGGCGATGACGCCGTCTTCGTTGGGGCGGTACTACGGAAAAGGGCCGAGTGTGAAAAGCAGGAAGTGGAAACACCGCTCAAGTGACCGGCCTGGAAGTCTGAGCTTCCTCTTGATCCGCAACTGAGGACTAATGCTAATTAGACTTAAGAGTGTGTGTGTGTGTGTGTGTGTGTGTGTGTGTGCGCGCGCCGTCCCTTTAGAAGAGCAGAGTTTAGAGTCGGCGCAGCAGGACAGCGAGTGGCGCCATGCAGTTAGAGCGGCTCACACAGGAAGACAAACACAGATCACCGTGACGACGGCGATGATGCTGCTCAGCGTGGGAGGCGAAGAGAACGTCCCACTGATCAGGATTCAGGGCTCAAAACGTTAATTAATTAAACCTCATGTAGCTGTAGCCTTCTTTCTCTTCTGAAAACAAATTAAAATTGAGCTTTTTTTTTTTTAGTTTTGAGCGACTTGCATCGCCGCTTCTTACAACTTCACCTTCCTGGTAAATAATGTCAACAATAAATAACTATTTTGTTTAACTGGACAATCTACTACTGGTAAATAAATAAAATAAAGATTGAAATCACAATTCTACTTCAGCCTTGATTATTTGCAATGATTAGAATTTATTGTTTATTATTAATATTGTCATAGATAGACATATTGCATTATTACATTTAATAATTTCTTAAATAACTTAAAACTGAGCGTGCAGGGAGCTTTAAAAGGAAATAAAATCTACACGAGCCCCTGAATTCATCACAGATCTGGACGGTACTTTTTCACCTCCGTCACCTTTCCTTCCACAGATGGAGGCAAAAGAAGAGACAGACGGAGAGACAGACGGGTGTCATGTCGGTGTGTACCTTTCTACCACAACTGGCCGAAACACCAGTACAGCAGAGCCAGGACAAGGCCAATGAATATGGCTTGGACAGGCTGCAGTATGGATGGCTAGAGGGGGGAGGGGGGAGAGGGACAAGAAGATATCAGCCGGCAAATCAACCAAAACCAACATGGAGGATGGAGCTGCTACAGAAAGAAGAAGGGGGGGGCAAAGAGAGAAGGTGGTGGGGGGGGGGGGGGGGAGGTCTCTTATCGGCCGCTTCTACAAACCAACTCCGCCATTCCAAGCCGCTTTCGCCTAAACACACAGAAGAAGACGTCAGCCACATTTCCCCGGTTAGATTCTCAGCGGCACCCAGGCGCTGACCTGTGAACCGGTGACGCGGGTCGACCGGTCTCTGAACAGGCCGGGGGGGGAAATGTGAGGAAATAAGATATAAAAAGCTCACACAAATCTAACGAGAACAAAACGCCAATTCATGTCCTGCTTGGTGCAGATAAATAACTTTCAGTACTTAAAAATACACACAAAGACACAGCGTGCATTTTAAACTCTACATCTGTGTAATGTTCAGAGTTGGAAGCAGGACGAAGGTTTGTAAAAATTCATAATAAAACCCGAATACATGAATCTAACCCGGGGGATTGTTTCTCATCTATTAACTCCTAGAGAGCCGGAAGACAAAAAGAACCAAACGTTGTAATAAACAGGAACAATCATTTTACACAACGGGAGCCTGAGGGACGAGGACTCTGACAAAACAAAGCTCTGAGGAACAAACACCTTCTGCCCTGACAACTAAAGACAGAAGAGGAGGAAGAGCTGAAGACGAGTACACCAGAGAAGAAGAGGAGGGCTAACGACTGGAGGAGGAGGAGGAGGCTGCTCCGCATCGCTGTCGTCTTCTGATTCATGTTTCTTGAAGTTTTTCCCAGACTAACAGCCGCTATTGATCAGCTCGGGGTTGAAGGGCAGAAGGTGCAATGATGTGATTATTGACGACTTCGATCATCCCGTTCAGCCGGTTATTGACTTAACCGATTTGTACTCAACGTCCCATTACATTTTCATCACTGCTGGATGGGACTCATTTTATTTTTGCTGGGTGAGCATGTGAGCGGTGAGGAGGGAGTGCTGGGTGGGTTAAAGCTAGCAAGTCCCACACTGCCACAGTGCCCATGAGCAAGTCTGGAGGCTTCTCCTGCATTCATTTCTACGCAAGAAAATAAATAAATCCAGAAACTGTGGACAAAACATCATCATCATGAAACATCTGGATTTAAAGTAGATTAAACACTGGAATAGAGGTTACACCACAAGAAGTTTATGTGGTGTTGGATAGTATTCAAAATGAGTGTGTGTGTGTGTGTGTGTACTCACAGAGGTGGTCTTGTCCTGCAGCAGCTTCAGGCTGCTCCTGCACTGCTCCAGCTCCTGGTGGATGTTCAGCTTCTCCTTCTCAGTTCTCTCGTAGCGCTGACGGAGGTCCAACAGCTGGGACTGTGTGTCTTCATACTACACGAGAACACACACGCAAAAAACAGCATTTCTCTTTCTGTAAATAGTGTGTACCTCTATCTGCAGTGTGTGTACCTCTATCTGCAGTGTGTGTGTGTGTACCTCTATCTGCAGTGTGTGTGTGTGTGTACCTCTATCTGCAGCGTGTGTGTGTACCTCTATCTGCAGCGTGTGCACCTCTATCTGCAGTGTGTGCACCTCTATCTGCAGTGTGTGCACCTCTATCTGCAGTGTGTGCACCTATCTGCAGTGTGTGTGTACCTCTCTCTGCAGCGTGTGTGTACCTCTATGTGCAGCGTGTGTGTACCTCTATGTGCAGCGTGTGTGTGTACCTCTATCTGCAGTATGTGTGTGTACCTCTATCTGCAGCGTGTGTGTGTGTACCTCTCTCTGCAGTGTGTGCACCTATCTGCAGTGTGTGTACCTCTCTCTGCAGTGTGTGCACCTATCTGCAGCGTGTGTGTACCTCTCTCTGCAGCGTGTGTGTACCTCTATCTGCAGCGTGTGTGTACCTCTATCTGCAGTGTGTGCGTGTACACCTCTCTCTGCAGTGTGTGTGTGTGTACCTCTTTCTGCAGTATGTGTGTGCACCTCTATCTGCAGTATGTGTGTGTACCTCTATCTGCAGTGTGTGTGTACCTCTCTCTGCAGTGTGTGTGTATCTCTCTCTCTGCAGTGTGTGTGTGTACCTCTCTCTGCAGTGTGTGTGTGTACCTCTCTCTGCAGTGTGTGTGTGTGGGTCTGGGCCTGGTCCAGCTGGCTCTTCAGCTTGCTTGCATCCTGCAGGTGTTGATTCTCCAAAGACCCCAGTTGTTCCTGCAGAACCCCCTCCCTCTTCTCCAGAGACTCCAGACTGCAGCTGAGGACCAGACTCTGCTCCCTGGTGCTACACACACACACACACACACACACAGACACACATTTATCAAACATTCTGCTGCAAATGTATAATATTCCTGTGATTATATTGGATCATTACCTAATGATGTTTATCATTAATAATCTGGGCAGGTGGACTTTATTTTATTTGAGGAGGTTGCTGTTACAACTGATACTAGCAGTTTATTTAACAGCATGTGCAAGAATCAGGAGAGACGCCAACATGCCTCATCTGCAGTTAATAGTTTAAGGTAGTCGATGTTTGAAGAGAATCGCTGCCGGAGGCACCTTTCTCTTTATTGGAAACTAAAACACAGACAGCTCGGTCAGTCAGTCAGCTGTCGTCCTCTCGCCCCGTTCCGCTTCAATCAGCTGGACGTCACGTTCTTTAGTGCTGAATCTGAACTCTGCTGTCTCGAGGTTAGGATTTGTAAGTCCACTTCACACATTACGAGGCACATTCCCTCCGCTCTGGGTCGACCCTCACCTCCTACAGTCGTTTAAACTTCGACACAATTCAAAATTTTCTGATGTGCATTTTAGAAAATATTTATTAGAGGATAAAGTTTTACAGCAGTTTTGACATAATTACATTTTATTCATGGTTGTGTAAATTGGTTTCCATATTTTAAGGGGCCGATTAGTTCTCCCTCCACTTTGGGTTTGTGCTAGCGAATGTAACGCGTGTGCGTACGTGTGTGTGTGTGTGTGTGTGTGTATACCTGCTCAGCTCATTCTCCAGGCGGTGAAGTTTGTCCGTCAGAGTTTCCCGCTCCCCTCTGAGGCCGTCACAGTCCTGCTGCAAACACACACACCGCTGCTGCAACGTAGCGCACTCCGCTGGAGGAGAGGAAGAGGAGGCACGGTAACGGTTACAATCAGAGGGTCCAGCGGCACGTCGTGCACCTCCATCCGGACCCGGGTGCTCACCCTGCAGCTGGTTGGCCGTGCTCCGCTGCTGCTGCTGCAGCGTGAAGGCCTCCTGCAGCCGGCTGATCTCCCGCTCGTACTTGGCGGCCGTGTCCCGCCAGCGCTCCAGCTCGGACCGCACGCCGCACAGGTCGGCCTGCAGAGCGGCGATTTCGCGCTCGCGCTCAGCCGTGGCCGTCTCCATGGCGTGACGCAGGACGAGGATCTGAGGGCAAGAAAACGGCATCAATGAGGGAGCCAGAGTAGCTCAGAGGGGAGTTTTGATGGTCAGAAGAAAGTCAGATGGCAACAGGCAGAAATAGAAATGACAACGGATGGTACCTCCTCCTGGGCGCAGTAGAGCTCCTCTCGGGTGGTGCAGATGGTGCTCTCCCTCTGTTCCCTCAGTGCCTCCATGTCAGCCTGCAGCTTCCCAAGTTGAGCTACACACACACACACACACACACACACACGCACACGTGAGACGGGAGTACGAGGCTCTGGTGTACAGGCATGTAGTACACTGTGTATTCACTTACTCTGCAGGTACTGGATCTGTTTGGTGGACTCCTCAGTCTGCTCAGAGTTACTCCTCCTCTCCTCCTCCAGCAGAGCTACAGTCACACAAAGTAGGTCATGTAGTGACACTAATTAAATGCCTTGACGACAGCACATCCGTTTGATGGGGATGATTTTAAGCGGTTACCTTGCAGCTCCAGACATCTCTGCTTGCCGGTGTTGGCTAAATCCTGGGCGTCCAGAAGCTCTCTGTGGAGGTGGTGGATGACCTGCTCCGTATCTCCAGGCTCTAGACCGGCCCGATGCAACTCAGCTACACACACACACACACACACACACACACACACACACACACACACACACACACACACACACAGTAATTTAAACAGTTTCTTGACGAAGAGCTCCCCTTAGTGGGCAGGGAAGTGTACGTCCGGACCACGTTGGTTGAATTCGTGGCGGCGGTCTGTTGCTGCAGCTCAGAGGAGATGAGTTGCCATGGTTACCTTTGAGCAGAGCTACTCTGTTCTGGGGTTCGTTCAGCTCCTGGTCATCCATGTTGCCGTCTGCAACATACACACAGATATTTATTCATGCCGTTTCTAATGCCAATGTTGAATTAAAAAAACTATATTAAAAACAGCCACACAGTAAAAACAATTCTATGTATATACAGTGTTTTAATTCCAGAAAGTACTACATGGTCTTACAAAGACGATTTAAGTGGAGCTGACTTAACAATAACGATATTAGAACATAAGTCTAAAAATATTATTCAATGATGAATTCCTACAGAATGTTTTCGCTGGAACTGTAACAGATGTGGAGAACGAACTTTAACACTATTTAAAATGCAAACAGCAGAAAACAAAAAAAATGTATTATATTTAAAAACCTCATAAACTGAAGAGAAATAAGTCATTGTGTGCGTTTGAACCGACCTGACGTGTCGTCACTGCTGCGGTCTTTGCTGGGACTCAGAGTGTCTGACATGTCCGACTCTTTGGCATCCATTGGATTGCCTGTGGGGGGGGCACGCACACAAACACACGTGTTAGACAAGAGGGAACAACGACTAACAACGTTCGTGTAAATCGTTGAATAAATAAAAAGCCAACAAAGTAAGGAAGTGGGAAAACAATCATAGAAAAATAGTTTAAAAAGATTCCGACAGGTGTGTTCATATTTGCACAAGAAAATGTGTGTCGCTCGATAACAAATGATCAGATCCCTCCCAAAAGAGACAGAGGTCAAAGGTCAGAGGTTACTATAGTAAGATGTGTCCTTGCCAGCAGCTTTGCTACTTTTACTGTCCCTACCGAACTTAACATTTTTTAAACTGACGCAAGGATGTTCTCTCACATTTAATACAAATAACCAGAAGTGGTGTGTGTGTGTGTGTGTGTGTGTACACACACTACCTTTAAGGCGATCAGGGCTGGCCAAGATGTCGTCTTCTTCTGCCGTCTGGTTGTTCTGTAGGTGTGCGTCCATCACTTCTACAAACAGACACACACACACACACTAGTTGGCAGCCGGTCAGTTTCATTACAGAGTTGTTGTTTTTTGAGCTTTTAACTTTTCAGCTGAGTTCTTACCAGCAAAGTTGGCCAGTTTGTGGATTGAAGAACTCACGGTTTCTTTCAGCTGTTTGACCGCTGCAGGGAGGAGAAACAAAAGAACACCAGCGATTAAACCAACTGGACTTTGATCCATCAAATCTGTAAATGTCCAGCAGGTCAGCTGAACAACTCCTTAGTACCGTGAATACGAGCCGCGATCACACACTCGTTTACACTCATCAGCTGGACGCAGGCTCGGAAGTGAGGAAATGCTCATTTTTAGACAATATACATCTAAAGAATCTGTTGACAAGTTGGCAGAGATACGTTTTTCTTTTATTATTAGAACGAGAAGCTGCAGGTAGTACACGAGCCGTAGATTCCACAGTATTCAGGATAATAAGTTACAGAAGAGCTTCCAAAAACGTGTAAACTATTGTCTCGTCCAGATCAAAGGTGTTTGTCTGCAGCAGAACACCGATGTGTGGAGAGGAAAGCCAACGCTCTGCACTAGTTAGGCCTCCGCTGTGCAGAGAGGAGCATCTGTGATTCAATCCACAGTAGAAAGACACTTTATGGCAGCAAACATCTCTGCAGCAGTTTGGTCTGCAGACTTTTTAAATTTCTGTGACACCAACAGACGGGATTTCATCGGTGGTCAAAGAAATGCAAAACTCCTTCAAGTATTTAGAGTATCGATTCGAATAGCTGCTATAAGACGGGAGGAGAAACAAAACAGAGCGAGGACAGAAGAAACACCATAAGAAGAAAAGGAGAGTATCCGAAAAAACCCGAAAATAACACCAAAGCCCCAGAATAGGAGTGTGACAAGTATCTCGAAGTTCTTCTTGTTCACATTCAACACGTTGGTGTGTTTAAAAGGTGTTGGATGGACACGAGGTGGCATGGTGAGAAAAATAAAAACCTATTCATGATAAAACATCGCGTGATATTCTTTTCCAAAGATGTTAGTTATGAATTTCTTTACACGGTGTGCTGACAAAACGTTACCAACGCTACTTAGATGGAGCTTAAAATGAAAAGAAACACAGCCGCAAAATATTTGGCATGTAAATACTCTGAGATACTAAAACAAAAACATAATTATGACAAAGGACGTTTTCTATTCCTGAACTCTCGCTGTGTCCTCATAGTAATATGCGACTTGCTATTCTCCTCATCACATTTGGAATTCTCCCGTCAGCGATGAAGAACAATCAGAGACTGCTGTGACCTCCTGCTGCTTTTGATCCATTATGAGCTACGCACAACGTCATTTCATTCATCTGATCATTTTGTAGTGGTAGTTATAATATTTAATATTATTTTCTTCTATTTGCTTCCGTGTGTGTGTGTGTGTGTGTGTGTGTGTGTGCAGCAGCACACGGCAGGAATGTGCGATTGTACTCACGCGGACACTCAATCAACTGTTGGATTCTAGTCGAGTCTCCTCCGCTGTTGTTAACGTGACAGTTGTCTGATTGGAACACAGAGCGCTGACATTACTGAGACGACTACGAAGAGCGGAGCTCGGTATTCATTCAGATTTAAATGATTCTGCTCATCGACGCCTCAATGTGATCGAATAATATCAGTTAATATTCCGGAGGCTGAAATCCCCCATCGCAGCTGTCGAATGCCATTCTTCTTTTCACCAATTCATCCCACCAAGAACGTATTGGAGGTAAGTGAGATAATAAAATGAATCTGTGAGATGTAATATGAATATAATCAGTGGATTTTTTTGCCACAAATTTCAAAGATGAAAATGTTGACGCACGTAAAGCCAGTGAGGCTCTAGAGCAGATCTCATTTTTTACGTTATAGACTTGATGAGCAGAATAAATAAATCATCAATACCCAAATCTGTATGAAAGGAGGATAAGATGCAGCAGAAAGATCCAAAGACAGACGAGCGCGTAGAAGGTGAGACAAAGAGGTCGAGGACTGCACAGATCGATCAAAATAATAAAACAAAAAGGCAGGAAATCAAGGTCAAGGCGGAAATAAGACAATCACAACGCTGTCACAGCAGACAGGAAGTGGACAGACAGGAAGTCTCTCAAGGACTCATCGGTCCAACATGCGGAGCACGTTTCATGGAAACAAACGCAACCATGGCATCATTCAGGTGGAGCGTCTCAACTTCTGTGAGGGGGAGTCAGGGGGGTTTTAGGAGGTCAACTGCACATGTAAAGTGGACCTGAAAGCTGGGAACATTTCAAAGAATTGAATTGTTTCAAAAGAAATTGTGAAAGCAGAGAAAAGGATCATGGGGTCTACGATGAGGTCATGAGGTCTACGATGAGGTCATGAGGTCTACGATGAGGTCATGAGGTCTACGATGGCCATTCCAACGCTCAGAGGCCTCCGAACATGTTGGGTTGACACTGACCAACTAGAAAATCTTCAGAAATGCTGGAGAATCCCTCCAAAACACCACATTGTGACACCAAGACACGGTAAATAAAAGGCATGGTGGGATTTGGCATCCACAGCCTTTGAACTTCCGTTCCGTCCATCGGGTGGCGAGCGCTTCAGAACTCGGTTATTGTCAACGCATCAATAAAGCCTTTCATCCCCGTTCTTTAGCGTGTGGTTGGAAAGTTTTTCACAGCTGGGATTTAATGTGCGACGGTTACCACGGTGACTAAGACCATGAACATGAAAAAGAATACAATCAGCATCAGCATTACTCATTCACGCTATTAAAGTTTGCTTGAGGTGAAAGGTCAACAGACACCTAGAATTGTTTTAAATTGATCTGGATTAGATTTCTTCTTAACTGTGCTGAGATGCTGTTCTTTCTGTGCAGCAGGACCTGCTAAAGAACGGCGCGATACACAAATCATGCTACTGTGATAAACTACCATCAACATCTTCATCTCCTCCAAATGGACCATCATCGGTGTCCGTGTCCTCGTCCTCCTCGGGGCTCTCAGGGGTCCGCAGGCTCCGTTTGTCCTTCTCAGGCTCCTCTACCGGTCCGTGGGAGACAATGTCCTCATCTGTCGTGTGGCCAGATCATATATACACATATGTACGTGTATGTCTAAACGTACAGAGTCAAACATGAATCCAAACGATAGCCAGTTCCTTCACCAAGAGGAGCAGTGAGCCAGCATTCATATTCCGTGTCCTCATTCAACACCCAGTCCTACAACACCTAGTCAATCAGTGACCAGAAGCTTCTTTTTTACCCCCCCCAGAAGAAAAAACAAACAAACAAAGCAAAGGACAGTTTGGTAACCATGGAAACGACCCAGATAACCCAGAAGCCCCCCCAGGGAGCGCTGCTCAGCTTTGACAGAGTTCCGCCGGGTTGGACGTTCCTTCTCACTCCTCGTTTAACACAACGGACTTTGCGATTAGATTCTCTCGTTTGTAGACAGGAGTATTTATTATTTCAATATCCTGGTTGTCACTTATTATGAAATCAAATCTATCAGAAGAAAATCACTGGCCATTATTCATGGGCTCCTGCTTACATGTCCTTTGGAATCGAATGTGTATTTTGAATGCCAATAAAGCATAAAGCTTGTGACCAAACATCCAAAAGGGATTTTTTGTGTCTCAACATTTGAATGTCGAGAAGATTCATTAACAGCGACCGATCTGCTGCAACAGTCCGCTGTGACGCGTTTGACGTTTCTCAAATGTTGCGAGAGCTTCCGTGGACCGAAGGTCAGAGAGACACCGCTCAACTACCAGAGTCAAGAGACCACAACAGAAGAAGAAGGGCCCGACCGCCAGCGTGACGGACGGAGAAAAAGAGTGACAGGAAGTCACGTGGACGCCATGCAGGTTAGTGTCATGCATCATCGGTGCAGAAGGACAAAGGAAAGTTAGCGGCGGCGGAGACGGCGAGCATCCCGAAGCGGACCGGAGACGTGTGCACTCACCCAGGCTGTTGTTTTCTTTAATGCTTTTCTCTTGTAGCTGTTCTAACCGCACTGTAAACAACAACAACAACAGCAGCAGAGGGAAGCGTTGACTGACAGGAAGTCCCAGCTGAGCCCTGTGATTGGTCGAGGCGCGTTGTGACCCGCTCACCCAGTGGTTGTTATGGTAACGCTTGTGTTAATGTTAAAGCGATTGGTTTGCGTGTTAGCGCGTGTTTACCCTGCAGGGCGGCCAGCCTCTCGTTGGTGAAGTCGTTGTCGGCCTGCAGAGCTTCGATGCTGGCCTGGAGAACCTGCTCCTTCTCCTCCATCTCCTCGATCCGCAGCTCCAACTCCCTCTTCTCCAGCGCCCCCCGCTGGGTGAGCTCCTCCTGCCGGCCCTCTGCCGCCTGGAGGGGAGGCGGTTAGGGAGGAAGCAGGTGAGGTTATGGAGGGAGGAGAGGAGGAGGGAGAAGACGGACAGGAATATAAGAGGTAGACAGAGGAAAAAGTATTGACATAATTTAATTTACATATTTGAATCCAATATTAGGTCACAATTTTTTATAAAGGTCCTTTAATAACTGCTGCATTTATAGTTAATTCAGCTTCAGTTATTTTAATGTGACAATAAAAGAATGAATGATGATATATCTCATTATTAGAAATATTATGCCTTGATACATTTATGTCATTAGTTTGAGTAAAACTAAAATATTTGAATTTACTATAAACGTAGAATTTAATTTATAATTAATAATATTCCATCACAGCCGTTAGACAACAATTATGAAGTATTAATAGTTTGAATATATCATATCAAGAGTTTCTAATTCCAAAAGTATCTTTCTAAAGTAGATACATTTGTTAAAATGCTAAATCGTTCACACAGTAACCTTGATTTTGTCCGTGAGCTCTTTCATCTCGTTGACGGCGGCGTTGTACTTGTTGGCGAGCTCCCTCAGCTCCTCCTGGCCGCGCTCGGACATCTCCTTCAGGTGGGTGCACTCGTCCTCCGTGTTACTGAGCGAGCGCTGAGCGACGGCACCACACACAGAGGGAGTTAAACAATGATCCGGAGAGGAGGGAGGTAATTTTGTGCTCGCGTCCTACCTCCACCTCCGACAGCTTCCTGACCACCTCGATCTTCTCCTGCAGGACTCTCCTCAGGGACTCCTTGGCCGTGGTCTCGTAGTTGTGTTTGTCCTCCTGCAGAGCCAGCAGCTCCTTGCGGATGCCGTCCTCCGTCTGGGACTGTGGGATAACACGGCGTTATTCTATGTGAACACGTTGAGTGAACTTTGACAGTTATTCGCCGGAGACGCGCGGTTACCTTGGAGTGAGCCTGCAGCTGACTGCCCATCACCTCCAGTCTGGAGAGCAGGCGGTCTTCGTCGATCAGAGCCTGGTGGGAAAGGGGGGAGACACGTTTGTCTCGTCTTGCAGCGATGAATACATGAATTCCCATTATGGTACGACGATGGTCTCTCCTACCTGCCAGCTGCTCTCGGAGGCCTCCTGAGTGTTGGCCAACAGACGCTGCAGGGTAGCGAGCTTCTGCTCCAACATCTGCTCTCTGTGTAAGGCCTCCTGGTGGGAAAAGGAGGAGGATCATCAACGAAGATCAGAGCCATTAGTATTGAAGCCAACAAAGTCATTCATCGTAAATGAGAGTATTTAAGAGGGGAGACAAGTAAAGATGTAGAACAGATAAATGCATCTTCTATGTCATCCATAACGTGGTAAATCTTTTAGATCAGAGGGTTCTGTAACGGCCACTCAGCAGCTTCAGATCGTCTTCATTTGCTTTCTGACATTACAACTGTGTTATTACATGAACCAACGTGTGCGCGTTGGATTAACTGCCTCATTATCGGCAGTGTGGTTCCACAGAATGACCAGTAGGTGTCAGTGTGTTACCTGCAGATACTGGGAGAGCTGGAACAGTTCCTGAGAATACATACTGGGAGTGTTGGCTGCAACCTGGAAAACACACACACGCTAACATATTGTTGTCTGCAGTACATTTCAGTGCTTGAATTGAAGACTAGAAGAATCATTCCTGCACTCACACAGTCAGTGGCCTCAAATATACCACAGGGTCTCATATAAAAGCAACTGTCCAAGTGGTGGAGCAGTGAGCCAGTTACATCCATCCACCCTGGACTGGTCGCCAGCCAATCGCAGGGCTACACAGAGACAAACAACCACTCACACTCACATCCACACAACTACGGGCAATTTAGAGTCCCCAATCATCCTGATCCGCAGAGCATGTCTTTGGACTGTGGGAGGAAGCCGGAGTACCGGAGAGAACCCACGCAGACACGGGGAGAACATCCAGACTCCACACGGAGTCGAACCCAGGACCTTCCTGCTGTGAGGCGACAGTGCTAACCACCACCGTGCTGCCCATCTTAAAATAATTCATCATACTAAAGAAATCCCCCAAAACTGGATTATTTTCCCTTTACATACATACATAAGTCTAGTGTACACGTGTGTGTGTGTGTGTGTGTGTGTGTGTCTCTGTGCGCGTGACCCGGGAGGCGCATGGATCCTGCTTTAAGACACTTAATTATGTTAGAGAAGTGGTTCAAATCTAATCACAGCTCCTCCTGACACACACACACACACACACACACACACACACACACACACACACAAAACCATCAGCTTCGGCCTACATTCCTCAGACTGGTCACACCGAGCTCCTGTTCTTCTCACTGCTGCGGGAAAACACGGAACGGGGCGAGGCGGCAAACAGAAAGGTAACATGCTACATATGCCATGTATGGATTGGACTGAATACAATGTAGAAGCCAACGATTTGGTTCAGTCCGATGTGGAGTGATGATGTCATCTTTGTACATCATGTTTGGGGGGTGGGGGGGGGCAGACAGTCTCCCTCTCAGAGAGAGAGAGACTCCACTGGCTGGATAGTAATAAGCCCTCCATCATTCTGTTAAATACTGATGTGGACAATGTAACACGCCAACAAAAAAAAAATGGAACTTTAGATATTGCTACAGCCACAAAGAACGACGGGTGAACTGTGGGAAAAAACCCTGCATTCCTCCATCAGCTGACTACTCCGGAGTGTGTGTGTGTGTGTGTGTGTGTGTGTGCGCGCATAGAATACTTACATGTGAAAACCAAACACACACTCTCCGCTCCACCATGAAGGAGAACGCACGGGTTAAAATCACCAACAACTTGCACACGGGACAACACACACACACACACACAGCTGTTCTTACCTTGTCTACAGGAAGTGGTAACGGAGCCTGGATGACACTGAAAGAGAAGGAGGAGAAAACATGGTTGTCACCATAGAAACAGCCAGGAGAGAGGACACAAGAGTAACCACGGCGACAGTATGACAAAATAATACATTGACTGGCTCTTCGTGACACTTGAAGCTTGTTGCCAATTAAAACCATCACGGCATCCCGCTGAGGTCGTTCCTCGTTACGCTTCCCAGGTTCCTTTGTTTTAAAATGATCAATTTGTTCTCATTGTGGATCCTTAATGCTTTGTTAGTCAGGTTCGTCCACATTAGTCCACATTCAAATTGTTGCATGCTGTGAACTACAGAACATCAGATCAATCCAGCATCACAGAAAGCAGTGTGTCCGTATTAAAAACCAGACCGTTAAGATGTCTAAATGCTGTAATACACCACAACCACGAGTTGCTTTTTGTGCAATATGAACATAGTTCTGCCATGAATCTTCTGCATGGAATTAATCAAAAGGGTTGTTTGGAGTGTTGAATGAATGCACAGAAACAACGCAGTGAGTCTGAAGGCGCCTCGGGCTCCGGCAGTTTCCACTCGGACGCTTCCACTCGCTGCACTCCGAGCGCGGAGGCCGTCGCGTGGAAGCGCCTCAACATCCAACGCAGTCAGTCGCGCAGTGAGCGGGGCACGCAAAGTACGACGAGAGAGCGGCGTTACGGGTCACTGGCACGGAGCAGCGCGAGGCCGCGTTTCACCGTGGTCAGCTCTGCGAATGACGTCGCCAAACGTCCATCTTTACAGCACACAATCGAGCGTTCTTTGTCCCAGACGCTGTGCGGTTATTAAGAAGACTAACATGAATCAGCCGGACACATCAAGGGGAAACTACTCCGCCACAGTTTCACCCCGGCATGCACACACAAAGCAGAACAAGGTCACACAGGTTTGCTACAGTGTGGAAGATAATCCAGAAGTCCAGGAATCCCTGTTAATGTGTAACAAACCAACCAGTAGGAGAGGTGGAAGCAGCTCCTCCAACATACCACCGCCGTCTCTCATTAAAGTCTAAGTTTAATACATTTAAATGATGCATTATTCTACAGGAGGAAAGACATTCACTGTAACATTTACACGACTTCTCGTCACATTGTGCACCATTGATCGATAGTTGTTTATACTTTGGTTCCAGTCTAAGCTGACAACCCTGGATAAAGTGTCCACGGTATTTGATCATGTTGTGTGTGTGTGGAAGGTCTTCTGCACAAGTGAAGAGGACAGGAAGTTGAAAAGATGTCATGGGAAAATAGGGGAACAAAATATTAGTTGAAAAAAAATGTTTTCCTTCAAGTCAAAAATATGTTATGATGAATATATGAGACATGTTTTGACTTTATTGTTCATATTCAAGTAAAAATGTTTTTTAAAAAGACATGTTAGGTCAAAAAATGTCGTGGAACCGTAGAGAGATTTTGATCCCCCCCGCTTCATAAATCAAATAAACATCTTTCACAACAGGAATCTAACAAGCAGCTGACCTGGACCTGAACTCACGAAACGTTCAATAAGAAAACCGCGGGACCTCCATTTTTAGGGGCGTGGCTACAGAGACTGCGTCGCGACGACCTCTGATGAGGAGTTTGTGTAACGTCTCCATGAGGTTCACACGTTAGATATTTGCAACTTTGGTGATTCTGTCCCCTTTTATTTTGAACGTCATCCTTTGAATTCCTCCAACACCTTTCTGATTATGAAGTGACATTTTCACTTCATAATTTCGATAGAGAAACATTACGTATTTTGGGAATTCAACGATATTGCCTGTTTTGTCTGTTTCAACGTCAACAGCGGTTCGTCGCTGTTGGAATAAACAACCAGCAGAAGAATGGAGCATTGTGCAGACGTTGCGGGTTTTTTTTTTGCAGAGGCCCAAAGAGCTTCGGTTGTCCAGTTTTATGTTTCACATTCCAACTGAAATGTTTGAATATTCTTAGGAACTGGAAGTTGGTCGCTTTTTAAAGATGGTGAACTTGCATCATTTTAACATTATATTAAGATTAGATAAGTGACATAAAATGGTCTTGCTCATTACGGGGCCAGTAGATCAGACTGAACGTAGTCGGACAGACTAAAAGTGAACTTTCCAGGATCAAACAAATCAATCGCTTCGTCCGTCGCCAAACAACGACTACAAAGTCCCGCCCCGAAATTAAAAGATGGAGACACAAAAAGAGACATGGGATAGTTTGACCTCAATTTGAACTGAGGCTTAGAAGAACTTCTTGAACGTCTTTTCAAACTGGTAATACCAGTGCTGAAAACTTTAGTGGATCAAGTCAATCGAGCGATAAATATACTGATTCTCCGCTTCACGTTAAGGATCTCTTCCAGGAGGACTCAGTGGATCCTTCTTGCCTGCTTTCTAAAACAACGACTCATTTAGGAGACAAAAGCAAAGAAGTAAAAGATGCTCTTGGCACAGCTGCTGCTGCTGCTTCTCTCCGGTCTCATGTTTACATCTGCAGACAGAACGCAGAAACCCAACAGTGAACTGAGCACAACACACAAGCTGTGTGTGTGTGTGTGTGTCTCTGTGTGTCTCTGTGTGTCTGTGTTCCGGCCCTGACGACTCCCAGTGGTGTTACGACAGAACGCTCATCCCCTCTAATCCAAACAGGCTCGAGGCGGGCTCCATGACACCGAGTCTGTACGCTGATCCACATCGCCGGAGCCTTAAAAGAGAAGAACGCTGGAGGTCGTGGACCACGAAGACGTTACCTGTCAGTTCTTCTTCCTGTGTGCGTGTCAGGTGGTGATTTGTCACGGGACAAAGTTCACAGTTGGGCCCTCTCGGTCTCAGCTGCCCTTGTGAGAAAATGGATCCTTCCTCCTCACTTAATTTTCCCTCCGAGTATCAGACCGAGCGGCCAAACTTGCTCTACTTTTCCACAGTCGACCCATAACAAACTTTCTTTCCACTTCTAGCTCCTCCTCCGCAAAGCAGCTGATATTCTTTCTTTAACTTGTAGCCCCTCCCCCTCCCCGCTGCAGCTATGGTCCCGTCTCGTCCCTACAGTCCTCAGGAGGCTGAAAGGGTGCGCTAGATAACCAACCTGGCGCTGCACGAGGGGGCGGGGTTATCTATCTACAAGCTGGCCTTCAAAAGCTCCAATCAGCAAGGAGAGCAAAACGGTTCTGAGAGTGAAACACGGACTCTAAACCCCTGACTGTGTGTGTGTGTGTGTGTGTGTGTGTGTGTGTGTGTGTGTGTGAGAGAGAGAGAGAGGAAACATGTCAGGTGATAACAACCTAACAAGCGAAACAAAAGAGACGTTGTCATGTACACGGCAGTGCCCGTAGATAAAAAATGTGGTTAAACCAAGCAGGTTTTGTGTCTATATTTCAGAGTCACGTGTGCGACCTGATCACTGATAGAAGAGGAGGAGGAACTGGAAGAGTGAGACACATCACCTGAAGCACAGTTGGGATGTTTTATCTCAGAACTTGCTACGACTTGTGAACTCAATTCTTTTTTTCGTGTTGTTCAGCATTAACAGCAATGATGTGACTCAACACGGAGTCACAGAGGCCGGGGGCTGCTGCTGGTCTCTGGCCACGCCCCCCATCCGTGATGTCACAGCAGGTGTTTCACATTGGCTGGAATACACAACGCTATTTTTAAGTCTAAAGGAAGCTCCCTCTCGCTCTCTCCCCCTCCAACCTGCAATGGAGTAATCAAGTTTTCTTACGATTGAGTCAAATAAACATATTTATACTCTTTGAAGATGCTATTAACTGTGATTTAGCCCAATGACATCACAAAAAGGGGATGAAGCATTCAGCCAGGCTCAGTCATTATTGTTTAACTCAACAATTACAAAAATGTAATATTTAGAAGGGAAGGCAAGTCTGCTGCAATCACTCAGTCTAGAAGTCTAGAAATTCAAAAAATAAAAACAGTTTTTTCCTAAATATTTGGGCACTACCAATACGTGGTTACCAGCGTGCTTGTCCGTGTTTTCCAGACTAAAAGCCGGAGCCAGGCGGCAGATGGCACCGCCCACCAACCAGCATCACACACACACTGATACACAGCGCGCACACACACGCACGCACGGGACTCCCGAGTACAGTAGGAAGCTCCCCGCTGGGTCAGCTGATGGTCTGCATACTTTTGTGGTACCACAACTTGTCCTACATTCTCAAACACTCGGCATGTGTTGTTTAACATCAGGTGACGGTTTGAACCGCCGGCAAGAATATGTGGTGGAGCACAAAAAGAAATAAATGAACACGCACACAGCATCTCCCCTAAACCTCGTTAACCAAATGACTGTCCTAATCAACAACTAGACTGACACTAATCACATCACTATGGAAGCAGAAGACAGTGTGTGTGTGTGTGTGTGTGTGTGTGTGTGTGTGTGTGCGTGTGTGTTTTAAGGACAGCAGTAACAGCATTCTTGAAAGACCCACTTTCGTTCACAATATCTGCAAACCAGCAATCAAACCTTCAACACAAAGTATCAGACCAATGAATGCTTACTCGCTCCGTCGGCGTGCCTCCATCCCATCGGGTAGGAAGAGTTTGATTGTTGACACGATGCAGCCATGGGTGACTGGAAACACAGACGCACAACCAGCACGTTAATGCACAGCGCGTAACCACTGGTTACCAGTGCCGGGGCGACATCGCCATCACATCATCGGACAAGACTGAAATGGGTTTGTTAAAAAGTCATTTTTGAAATCACACCCGAGGTTTAATGTTCGTATAAAGTAAATGAATCGAAAAAAACTGTACGGCAGGAATTCGAGCTGATCAAGTGTGATTCAGCAGATGAACCCGCAGTCCTCGTCTCACACGGGTGGACGTTAGATGCCCAGTGGGAATGCGGAATGAATCATTAGTGGAGCTGAAGAGCTGACCCAGATGTCTGCTCTACGCAGTCTGTGACCTTAGCAAGCTGCGCCTTCCGGCCGCCTGAAAGGCTAGTCAATGATTTCAGGCTCGTATGCGAGCGGTTCAGACTCACCGAGGCGGTTGGAAGGAGGAACAGACGCGTCCCTGAACCCCCGCCGCCATTCTGCACATCTCAGCATACAAACAAAGGCCTGCATATCGTCTTTGTACCTTTGCGCGTGTTCTCGGTGACGTCGACGCCGAACTGAATGATGTCGCCGGAGAGGACCTCGCAGGGCGGACTCTCCTCCGAGCCGCGACTCAACCGCTGGCTGTTGATGAAGGTGCCGTTGCTGCTTTTAGTGTCCTGCAGGTAGAACTGACACACACACACACACACACACACACACGAACAAAATCAATATGGTTTTTTAGTTAAAAATCAATGAAGGAATGTTGAGAAAAACATTTGACAGGATGACCGTCAACTTTCCGCTGCAGCTCATTTCACAACACATTTTCAAACAATAAATCATACTATTTTCACTAATCAATACTCACAAAGTCACTATCAGGAGCGAGACGATAACCAGTGATAATAATGCCCTATTTTGATGCAAGTAGAGGTTGTGTTCACTTGCATGGCGCATCCAAGCTCTACTAGAAAGGTCAATCACAGCCGTATCTGGATGAGCTCAAATATTATGGTGAAAGGTTCAGGGGTTAAATCAAATGAACACGGTTTGATCTATCATAATATAAATGGAGAGAATAACAACCTGTTCTGGAATAAGCAGCTAAAGCGAAGGTCTTCGCTATGATGATTAGCAGGTATTTGATTCAGCTGCTGACGGGCACCAAACACAAAGTACAGCGGCGAGTGATGGGAACGTTCTTAGTTTTGCAGCGATTTGGTCGTTTATGGTTGTGATGCAAAGACCGGAGGTCATCAAAGTGAGAGGTCTCCATCCTCTGTGCAGCATCGGTATCTGGACCACATGTCACGGCGGTCCCTCTATGGTTGTTTTGAGCCTTTTAGTCTCACTGACCAGCACCGGCACTCTGGGACCAACGGCACGACAAACACATGTACGTTGATCTTTTATGACACATGATGTACAAAAATATCCACACACACAACACGTTTCTCAACCCCCCCTCGGCGTGTTTCCCCCACGGTGAGACAAAGAGAACACAGCTTCTCTGTGGGGAGGTTTTAGAAATACAGGTCACAAAAAAGAGGACTATAAAAGGACATAATCCGTCATAATAATTATAATAATAGTAATAATAATGCAGCATCAGCAAAGGGCTGTGTGAGTTCAGCTCACTATTTAATCCAGAGGCTCCACTGTAGTTCTACCACCAGGAAGTACGCAATAACACTGACAACAGAGCAACATTTACATTTAAAAGCACATGGACACGTTAGTCACATTGAAACCACAAGAACAAAAACATCAGAAAACCACCAACAGCCAGAATCAACCCGCTCATTCACATATTCAGAAAATAAACACTGAAATCAATTACATATTCACAGACACAGAAATGAACTATGCACACACACAAATCAGGCAAAACAACTGCACATGAACAGACCAACACCAGGATTAGAAGCCAACAAGAACAAAAACAGAAACCTGAAGACACACAGACATATTACGGTATAAGTTACACTACAAACAAACAGTTTGCGATCTGATCTGGATGCCTGAGGCCTGTCTCTCGATCCACGAGTGTTCAGCTCTCCGACGCAACCGCAAACCAACGCCGAGCTACCAGAAAGAGACAGACAGAGACGGACTGAACACTGAAGAGAGAAAGGAGGGACTGAAAGAGGAAGACGAAGGAGATGAAAGATGGCGAGACCGACTGTTGGACTGGTGTTTATCCGGCTGCAGTGTGCAAAAAGATACCGATTCACTTTCTCTCCCCCCACCAACCCCCTCGTGGTAACCTGGAGACAGGGAGGGACCTAACTATAGAGCTTTTCACCCAGCAACAACACACACACAAGATGCGTCACAAAAACGCCTCAGATATGGCTCTCTCACACACACACACACACACACACACACGTTTAGTCCCCAGTCTGTATTCATTAAATTGATTGCTCGTTTCAGTGACGTGACACAGCTGATAAATCTTGACCAAGAGACCCGTGAGAACACGGAGGGTTTGCGCGCCCGCTCAGTCCTCTGAATGCGACCGCGCTGTCGGCACAGCAGGGGGCTCCATGCAGAGGCTCCCGCTAAAAATCACACGAAAAAAAAGTTCTGACTTTGGCTGACTGGCCGCCATAAAAAGGGCATTTACATGAAACGCAAGGTAAAGAAAAATGTACAAAACCCCCCCCAATGCCGAGGTCCTTTCAACAGCCACATGTCCACCTTTAATTCCTGCGACTTCGAGTTAGAGGGTTCCCTCAGCTCATTATTGTCTACGTTGCCATGGTGACCTGTGAAGATTAGGGAAATCATTTGTTTTGTCTCAGTCAGACGACATTTACAGCCGTAACGACGTTGTGAACCGGAGCGCGTCCGTCTCCACAGTCAGTCTCCTGTTGGGTGTCTGATGTTCGTGCTGAATCAATCACAAATAAAACCCCTCATTTGGAACACGGCCGCACTGTGGTTGAGGTTAGAAAAGACGGAGAGCACTTCCTTTGTTTATCGATGGAGCGGGAAACCAGTTGAAGCAGCCTCACTTGGTGTGTTTGATTAACAGGCGACGGTCGTCCCTGCGAACGTCCACCTGGTCCAAACCAGAGCCTCGTCCTTTTTACCCGCTCGCCTCCTTTCGTTTCATATGCACGTGACAAACAGCTTTTTTACCTTGCACTAAGCTCCGGAGAGGCTCTCGCTATCTTTCCGTCGGTTACAGCTGTCGTTTTATCTTAACTAAATGAAAACAACACCCAAACCTCTGCGCACGCGTCGCTGAGGAAGTCCCTTCGGTTTCCCCAAAACGAAAAAGAGTTTGGCCGATGAGGATGTGAAGCAACCGTGATTCAGCACAGCCAACCGCTGCCTCAAACGCACGAGGGACTGAACGAGGGGTTTGTTAGTTCAGAGGTTACACACAGCGACCGGAACCGGTACAGCAGGTCAAAGGTGAAGCAGGAAGTGGGTCAGTGAACTGTGACGGTTGTTTACAACTATAAAACAACGGAATAACTCAAATCGTCTTTTGACAGTCTTTTTTTTTTTTGATTGACTGGACTATTAGGGGGCGTTATTTATTCATGATTTATGATCTCGCTTTCTTTTCTCGTCATTAAAGGGTGGGGAGGGAGAGGAGGGAGGGGGGGGTCTTCCTGTTCCGATGACAGAGGATGACGCATGTGTACAGATAAGGCAAATTTGGGTCCGTTTCCATGTGACAGTTGGATGATTAAATTAAATAATTTATCCAGAGAGTCTGTCTGTCTGTCTGTCTGTGTCCATCTGTGATTCCACCTCCACAGTAATCCTGCAGCCATTAGTGATTAAGCTCAATCCCCACCACCAATTATGTAACAATTCTCCTCCCGTCCTGTCAGAACATCAGTGTATTTTCATGTCAGGACGGATTGGAACAAAAAGCACTACAACTTGAATTATCCTCAAAAAGGGAACAAAAATTCTATATAATTTTTTTTTTTTTTTTAAGTTTGCTCGTATGATTTTTCAAAAAGAATTATAGAAAGAAATCCAGATCAGAGGTTTTCCTAACGTGACGGATTTCTGACACCATTGACATTCCTGCATCCTTCCACCCACCGATAGAACATTTCTCTGGGAAACACTGCATCCCTTTATTGCTCTCTCTCCCGCTTTAATGTCGGCCAAATGAATACCAAGCGGTTGTTAATTTGACCTCTGCCTCTGAAAACAGCGCAAACCATCAGCTGCACCGATGAACCACTTTGACCGGTACATATAAATATATAATGAAATTCCATCATATAAGCCACAACTACATTAGTTAAGTTAGTTCACTTTTGGAAAAGTGTGTTTTTCAAAAATAGAATCACATATTTAGGCTTAGATTGTGACGTGGTTACAAATAACATGCAGCAAAAGAAGGAAGCAAACAATGAGAGCAGGAATTAAGCAATACTGTGAATGTAGAGCAATGGCCGAGACCGCTGGAGGAACACCTGAAGTAGGAATGTAGTAAACTACGTCACCGATCACTGTACAGACCAAAGAACAACGGATCAACAGATCACGAGTCAAAGCCCCGGAAGTCGAGCTGAAGGTCAAACGCTAAACAAAGAAGCAGCCGTGAGAGTGGCGTTAATAATTACTGACAGCAGAAGTATGAGGCCGCTCCCTTTGTAAAGCAGGCTGTCAAGTGATTGGTCACAGCTGAGAGTGAGATTTTCTCCACGTTTTGGTAAAAGAATGATCGGTCACGCTGGCGGCAAGCTGGTCGTGACGGGAGCGATAAACCTGTTCCATTAACGAGGATTGTTAAGCAGAGGCAGGGAGAGAGACAGAGACACTACAGGCGGCGTCTCTCTTCCATCTGTCTAAACGATGTATTTTTAGCATTCTGATCAGCAGCTCCACGTTGACTCTTCAAAGCAGGGACGTCCCCGTCCACATCCTTTCCAATTGGAAACTTGCTGACACTGAGTGTGGCTCCAATAATTCCATTTACCTACATGTTAATTAAATACTGTTTCTGAAATAACAAGAGGGAGGGGGAGGGGGGGGGGGGCACAGACCGGATAACAAACATCTGGGAAAAAATGTGAGAGACAAGCCAGACAGGGAGAGAGAGAGAGAGAGAGAGAGAGAGAAAGAAAGATGCTCCTTGAACGCTGGATAATTCAAATGTGTTCATATTTTATGGAAAAGGTAAAATCGTACATTATTAAATGATGCAAAGGCTTCCTGTCTCATTACTCTGAAATGTTTTCATAAATCAAAGACGTTTTTGCGGAGCCGGATAAAGTCACCGTGCCGCCACTCACACGGTGAAGCCAAACTCATAATCCGCGTGGCTGGATTTGGCGCCGAGCGTTCTGGTGGAGACGTCCGACGGCAGCCCGGGGGGCCGTTTGTGTCGACAGCGTCCTCCTTCCTGTCTGAGGAAGTGTTGAAAAGCTGAAGGCTGCGGAGGCGTTGCATCATCGGCGGGCAGAAAAAGCTCGAGTTCATCCCGGTCGACCGGTTCTTAACTGCCTCCCGGCTGGATAACGCGCGAACACGCCGGGCAGGTTCATCTCTCCTGAGCGATTTCACACAGTTAGCAGGAATGGAGCTCCACGTGATGGTTGGAGTGGAAGAGACACACGATGTCAAGAGTGAACAGGCTTCAACAGGCCGGCCCCCTAAACCGCTTCCATCACGTTCCTCGTGTCAATAAGACGGAGACAGAATAAAA